GATGGGAATCCACCGGAAACTCACCCTGAGGCCAGTGCTAGCGGGCCTTAGCGTTGCGTTGTTCCATGGCGATGAATCCAAGCTACGGAAGATTCAACAAAAAAACAAAAAAGGGTGGACTTTGCGAGCTTGTGCGCTGGGTGAGAAATTAGGCGGCCGCGGCAACAAAATTGCAGAGGCAGGGGGGGGGGGCTCATCGCTGTGCTAATTTAGGTCTCCCGATTCCTTGATCTTGGGACGGCCTGGTGCAAGGAAGTCGTTGAAAGGATGCGGAGATGTTGAGAAGAGTAGAGGCGAGAAGCAGGGGACGAGGAGGAGAAGGGGAGGAGAAAGGGAGACAAGGTGACAGGTAAACGAAAGAAAAAGAAATCAGAACAAGACGCCGGTATGGAACTGGGTCGCTCTGTATCGGAAATCAAGGTGTCTGGATGGTGGATCTAGATATCCGCATACGACGTCGTTGTACAGCGACTCCTCTACAACGACGAGTGGTGTTGATCAGGACTACTTGGAGCCCACGACAGCAGCCCAGCCGATGCTAGCGCAAGATCGAGTTGCGCCTATGCACCATTCGACTTGTTCAGCCAAGGGAGATGTCGCCGCATTTTACTTCACTTTTCACTTTTTTTTTCACTCTATTTTCGTCACAGCTCAGATCAGATCCGATCGAAAACGAGTAGTATTCGATACAGAACAGTACGGATCGATTGCGATGGTGGGCAACTTATGTGTCACAGCCACGAACAATATAACAGATGCTGGGGCTTCGGATGCCGTTTGTCAAGCTGTCAATGTCCAACGACCCATGTCGCTGTCAACTACAAACAAAAGTAAAGTAGTGTGTCAATGTCAATGCAGGCTTCAAAGGTCAAAAGTCAAGAGGCCCACCATTGAACGGTCAAGCAGCCACTCAACTACTAGATTGTTTGCACTGAGAGTAACTATGAAACAAACACGTTGACTGTACAGGGCGGAAGTCCTTGCTCGGTCCATCCGTTCTGTGAGCAATTCGTGCAAAGCGCGGGAAAGGTCTCCCTAGAAGAAAAGAGAAGAGTCTGGACCATTGCCAACCCCAAACCGGGTTTCAATTCCACAGCCTGCCCCGACAGCAATTGTTGCTAATTGATGTTTACGCTCCACGTCCTCTCCGCTTTATCTTTCTATCTTGCTGTGTATTGTCTTCGCTTCAGAAGGGGGTTAACCACCAGCCACCCTGCCACGACGCCCTCCGTATCCTTATTTCCTTGGTTTCGGCACGCCCGAGGGGACGGTCTGCACACTAGCATCCCTAGCCCCGGTAGGGCAGTCGCCGTTTTCTTGCTTTTCTGGACACAGCTCAGATTTTACACTATTCACACTACAGCTATTCACACTGTTGACAAGATAATTGCCGTCGCATGAATTTGCCGCCGGCGACGGAGCTCTCACATTTTGCTTATTTTATTGTTTTATCGTGGGCTTTCAAAAAACGATGTACTAATCTGAACTCGCAGATGAGCCTTCACTTTACGGAACATATAACCCTAGGGTCACACAAAACAATACATGAAAAGTAATAGTTCACCGGCAATGCCAAAAGTAACACCGTACGCAGATCAAGTTGCACCGCATGTTGTTCCGGCTTTGTGCTCGTTCCTTCCTTTCATTTTGTACCGCACGGACATGTCGTTGTTTTTGTGTGGGGAACCTATGTGGAGCCTTCCAAGAGCCACAAACGGCAGGAGCGAGTGGAGATGGGCGATCGTCAATTCAGTATGCGTTTAAGCGACAAATGGACGGACGACATATACTTTGTAGACTGTGAAGCTATGCATGTGAAAGCTTGGGGCTGGGCAGGCTGGGCAAAGCTTGGCCACACAGTATCGGCAGTGGTCGACTGGCCATATCTGGCAGGTGTCTAGCCATGCACTTCGTACTTTTCGTTTTACGCTATTGCCTTTCTTTGTTTACTCGGTTTACTTCCAGTTTTTGATTTTTCGTACGGAGCACGACGTACTAACACGTGCATTGTATAGCTTCGACTGGATGTCTCGCGAGCAATACGATGCCTCTCACCACGGGACGGGGCAAGAAGCTCGAAGGCCGAGCCTTGCACGAGTTGGGAAACGGCCTATTTACAAAGGACCGTTGCCCGTTGCGCATCAAGTGCCCTGCTATGTGCTTTTCTTATGGCCCACAACAGGACTTTAGTAAAGGCTATTCCAATTCAAGCAGACCTTGCGAGGACAAAGAGCGCGAGCCGAGATCAGCACTCAGTGGCTGGCTGGTGAACAACAGGAACAAAGAATGTTGAAGCCCGCTGCACAAATCTTTCTTTTCTCAAAGATACATAACGCGGCTCGCGCGGCTTTTTGTCAGACGCCTGGCTCCAGCCTTGTCAGCGGCTTTGCTGATCCTCGGTTCCACAGCGTGCCGCGTCTTCACGATCGACAAAAATAATAAAATTAAAAGTTAAAAAAGACGTTGGTCCCAGATCCGTAGAGCCAACGGTGCTTTGTGCTCCGTCTCCGCAGAAATGCGCTGCAAACGGACAATAGACAAAAATGGACTAGCACACCAGGGCGCGAACTATTCCATCGACTTCCCCAGTGACACGGAGAAAATCACCACTTGTGTGTTGTGAAAGCACGCTCGGGGAGGAGATTACCGAAGGCGAGAAGATCAACATATAATTACACATAAAAGAGTAGAGTAGGCAGAGCAGATGGGAACTTCCGTCGACGGTCCAAAATTGGTATTACCAATACAAAAACCTAATATAATCTGCCAGTACCGGTTTAGCAATACGAAAGACCAAGCGATACCGGCAGGAAGGCCAAGAATCAAGCGCAGTCCTTCCTCCACATGCCCACTCACTTCCAATTCTCTCCGGAATGAAGCCCAGCCCATTCACGCACACTGTCTCTGCTTATTCTACAGCAGACTATGCAACCTGCTTCACCCGTTTCTCAGCGCTTTCAATTTGCATCGTTGACCATTCTGTTATTTTGGCAAACTTACGCTCCCTGTGTTGGCAAAGATTGAGCCTGCCCCCTTGGCGATGATAAAGGAATGCTACACTGACACACAAAAACACACACACAAAACAAAACAAAACAAAACACAGGAGCCCTGCGTCTCACGCTTCCTTCAGGTCATATATGGTCAACGCATCATGGTGGGCCTCTCCGAGCTACATTCAGGTCGCTGTTGTCTTGGGGTCCCGTTGTTTTGCAAGTTGCCGAGTTGCCACCTTGCCTATTTTGCAGGTTTGCATCTCCACACGTCTTGGCAAAACATCATATTCGCAGCATTCTTATACGCACTATTTGTGCAAAGCTGTAAGGAAACAGACGGTGGGCCCGTGCAAGACGAAGATGGAGGTGGTTGCCATCTCGTTGGCGTCGAAGCGTCCGAGTGGACGGGGAAGCATCCGCGGCGTGCCACCTTCGTGGATATGCGGGTCACACAAACCAAAGTGACAGCTCAAAATCTGCCGGACGCTCTTGATGCTCGAACAATGGTCCGGGAAAGCAAATACGAATTTTAGCGAACGCAACGAGGCCGCGAGAGAAACATCCGTGATGATTTGGCAAAGCACCTAATTTTATTTTGTCTCGAGTTGGGCAACTGCTGTCATATCGGCAGCAAGAGAACGAAAGAATGAGAGGGCGAGAGGACACGAACACAGGTATTGCAACCAACAAATAACAACTATAGGTGGAGAGCAGACAGGCGCCAATGGTCAACTGAGGACGAGTCTTACGTTGCACATTTTAAGCATCACGCCCGGGCAGACTTTTCTTTTCGGCCCGCGTCATCCAGCCCCGAGAAATCCCCGGGCTAGAGTACAGCATCGACCCATCTCAGTCAGGGTACAGGGATGGCAAGGAAGTCTTGGAACGAGAGAGGGCCTGGTCCGTATAATAATTATTATTATAAAAAACTGCGTCGATTCTTGTCAATATTTAGAGTTTAGAATTGGTGTCTTCGTGATTATAAGTGACTGTTGTCAGCGAGTCCCAGGAAGTCTAGAAACTTAGAGTTGAAAATTAAGGAGCAATACTTTAGGAAAGTAAAACTCTGGTCGTCGGAGAATCATATACGAGTTTGCACAGCAGCAAGGTGAGACTGCCAAGACAACACAGTGCAAGTCCAAGGTGTCTCGATGGGGCACATTTTAGGACAGTGCGCGAACCGTGTATAGGCGCGCCCGCCTTATAGCGACCCATTCTCACACCACCTCGGCAACGAGCGAGATGAAAGCTACAACGATGACTGTACGCTTGACGTCGCCTGCACCAATGCCATCGCATGATTTTTAATACTTTTTATATTTAGGTAAAACAAATTCTTTGCATCCCACTCGAAGTCCTCCTGTTCAGCCGCCCTGACTTCTAGTCGTCTTCTACCTTCTGTTTACTGAACTTAGCTGCGAATATACGCGTGGCACTCGTCGTCAAGACTGGCCGAACTACAGCGACAGCTTTCCGAGAGATGGACGTCCTACGGCGTTTACAGTTTGTTCGCCCTCAAATTGTTGCGTCACTGGTTGGCCACAGACAGTCTTACTAGGTTGGGCACACATTCGGCGTCAAGTACCAGTTGAGAGGAGTTGTCAATGCTTCATGACCGCCGGCGGCTTTCCATTTTGGCAATTTGAAGAGGTTTTTATATTTCCAACGCTGTATGACGCCCGCTTGCAACGTAGATACGAAGTGGAGATATGCTTGACTGTCGATAAACAAGAATAACTGACGACACATATGCCAAATCTGGAAATAAATACGAGTTGAGGGGTAATAGGTAGTCCCAACAACAATGACAGGCATTGATATCGAACAACGCAGTCACGTATGTACGATCACACCACTGCACTCTTGGGAAATCTTTGGAGAGAGGCAAATTTCATTGAATCTAACAGCCAAGCTACTCAAGTGAATAACACTGCGCAACTTCGTTTCAAATTGCCTCGAGGCAAACCCTTTGTGAGCTTACAGCTTTGACGACCGCTCGTCTAGTCATGCTGTAATACCCAAGTCCTTATAAAAGGCGTCGCCGTTAGGCTTGCGGCCCAAGAACTGCTCCAGCGTCTTCATCTCGTCTTGCGACCCACCCCGCTCCAGCACGGTGTGCCGGTACCGCCGACCCTCGGTGCCGTTCATCGGGTTGGCCTTGAACACTGTATAGAACATGTCCGTCGAGTACACCTGGGAGTACAGGTAGCCGTAGTAGCCCGCGTCGTAGCCGCCGATCAGGTGGCCAAAGCATGCCTGGCCGTTGCCCCAGGTGCTCGGCTCGCCCTGGGCCTCGGGCCCTTTGATGCCTGAAATCTGGGCGCGCAAGTCGTTATACACGCTGCTAATCTCGAGGGCCTCGAGGGCCGCATGCGACTCGGGTGCGTGCATCATCATGTCGAAGATGCCAAAGTGCAGCTGGCGCAGGTTGAAAAGGGCGTCGTTGACATGCTTGGTCGCCACAAGCTTCTCAACGAGAGCGTCCGGGATAGGCTTACCCGACTCGTAGTGGCTGCTAAGAGCCTTAATCTGCGGCGGGCTCCAGCACCAGTTCTCGAGCATCTGGCTCGGCGCCTCGACAAAGTCACGCACGGTTGACGTGCCATGGAAGCGCGAGAACTCCGTGCGGCCGGCCAGATCGTGGATGCCGTGGCCCAGCTCGTGGAACAGTGTGACAACTTCGTCGTGCTTGAGCAGCGACGGCTTCGTGGGCGTCGGCTTGCTGAAGTTGCACACAAGCGCCGTGGCTGGGTACCGGCGGGTGCCGTTGGTCTGCTTGAAGCCGGGTTGCATGTTGAAGTTGGCGGCGTGGCCATACTTGCCCTGGCGCGGGTGCAGATCCAGATACAGATAACCGACAAAGCCCTCGCCCTCCGACTTGTCGTCCCAGACGCTGAAGATAATGACGTCCTCGTGCCACACAATGTCCTCCGCGCGGCCGGTAGGACTGATCCGGGCGCGCTCTTCGGGACCGAGCTCGACAAAAACGAAGCCGAACAGCTCCTCGAAGATCTTGAGCATACCGGCAACGGTCGCACGCAGCGGGAAGTACTCGGCGATCTCGTTTTCGTCAATGCTGAACTCTTTCTCGATCATGAGGCGGTCGTAGTAGCGATGGTCCCAGAGGTAGTAGTTGCCATCAAATGGCAGACCCAGCTCAGTCGTGTCAGCTTTCTTGAGAGCAAGCAGGTGGTCAATCTCCTTGACACCGCCAGCAGCCAGGCGGTTGCGCAGATCGCCCAGGAAGTCATCAACCGTCTTGACGTCCTTGGCCATCTTGTCCTCGAGGCGCAGGGCCGCATGGTTCGGGTAGCCGAGCATGCGGGCGGCCTCGTCGCGCAGCAGCACGGCTTCGCGGAACAGTGCAGCGTTGCCGTTGCACTTGTTTTCGTTGTCGATAAAAATACGCCGGCGGGTGTCCGGGTTCTTTGCAAACTTGAGAGCAGGGAACAAGTCGGGGTACTTGAACGACAGGCGGACCTTGCCGGCGTTGTCGCTTCCCTCCTCACCTTTGTCGAGGCCGTCAATCAAGTCGGCCGGCACGCCGTCGAGCTCCTCACGTGTAAACCAAATACCGCCGTTCTCCTCGTTGAGGTTCTTCTGGAAATTGATTTGGATCTGGCTCAGGCGCTTCTTGATTTCCTTGAAGCGGTCGCGCTCGGGGCCCGCAGGGAGACCCAGGCCATTCTTGATGTAGCCCTTGTGCTCACGGACAAGAAGGCGAGCGCTCTCCGGGTTGAGCGGCGTGACCGCACCTCCCACCTTGCCACCGGTCGCCTCAAGGGCATCTATACCGCCGTAGGTCTGCACAGTGGCGTCGACGACCTTGAAGACGTCCTCGCGCATGTTGCACTCGATGCCAAACTCGTCCATCAGGCGCGTAGCCTCTGTGCTGGCGTCACGCAGCTCACTGTCTGCGGACACATACTGGTAGAACCCGAGAATGTGGGCAGAGAGAGAGACGTCGTTCTCGTCTTCAACCTGGGGACCAAAAACCGCGTCGAAGGTGGTCTTGCTGCCGTCGGCCACAGGCGGCACGTCAGCAACGACCTTGTCGAGCATGGCACGGGTGCGATCGCAGATGGCCTTGGCGTCGGCCAGAATGCTGTCCTTGGTTCCCGTGAAGGTAGGCGGGGCCTGGGGCGGGTTCTTGTACTTGTCAGCCATGCTTTCAATCGAAGGATTCGTAAAGATGGGCTGGTAGGTCGCTAAAGTCGGGCTTGACGACGAAAAGTAGAGTTGTGACGCGGGCGATGGGTAGTTGTGTAGTTGGTCCTTGAGCTGTGTCAAAAACGGGATCTGAGGCCGAGTCGAACCGCGAAAGACGGCGAAAGAGAGCCGGGGAAGCACGCGGGTGGCCAGCGTAGCGATGTAGATGACACAGAGGACGAGAACGATGGCGGCCGCGGAACAGAAGCGACTCGAGCTTCGCTTGCTTGATGGCGGCGGGCGACGAGATTGTGGCCTCGGTGAGGAGCGTGGACTGCGATGGGAGCGGATGGGGGTGTAGGAATCCAGCGTGAAGGTGCTTTCGTTAGGACCTGTGCAGGGTGGGCTAACGATCAGGCAGCTCCCAGATGCGTGATGCAGAGTTGGGTGGATGCGGAAAAGTCGGAGAGGAAGTGGAAAAGGCAGGGAGAAGCAGGCAGGACGTGGGGAGGGGAAAGGAGAGAAGAGAGCAGAGGTGCATAAGACGGCTGCGACTGCAGCTGCAGGTGAGGGGCGTAGCTGCCGCTTTAGCGCAATGTGGGGAGAGTGGAATGCTCCGTTGGCAGGTGCCGTCCGTGAAATGCCTGTGCATCGAAAAAAAATGAATGGCAAGTGCGCCTCGCAAGCGACTGCTGTGACGCGACCGTCGCTTTAAAACAAACGTTGCGGCTTAAACGAACACGACAATTCAATCACAACAAGGTGACGAATGCGAGACACAGAGCGGATGCAGGATATCCGACGACACACGGCAGCGGCTAAAAGACGCTGACATGTGTCCTTGCCTAGAAAAGTGGTGATGACAGCGAAAAGGAGACAAACTGAGAGGAAGCAAAAGGAAAGTAGCATAAAATCCAAATGTATTCAACGCATCGACCTAAGCAAATCAACGCCGGTGCAGCCCATGCTCCCAAGTTATATTTATGTACGCAAAAGCAATCCCTCCAGGGCGTCGTCCTCTAGACGGCGGCCACCTAATCCAAGTCCGGCGATGATGGAACAACATATCCGTATGGGCTAGGTCCACATTCTGCGGCACTTTGTCGTCAAAACCTCCACGCTTCCTGTTTCATGCCGACGCCGCCCAACAGACATCACTAGACGCGATTCCAACCTATCTAGTTTGCAAGAATTGTCCGGACAAGGTCTGCAAAGAAGTTAGCACAGAGCAAAAGTAGGAATTTGTGGGGTTTCAATTCAGCTCCCAACGCGTCCATGGGTCTGCGAAAGTTGGGTAAATCCCCGACATACCCGTGTAGTTGACCTGTCCTGAACTCGTGTCGACAGCCTTCAGCAGCTCGTCAACCTCCTCGTCAGTCATCTTCTCGCCGAGGTTCGTCAGGATGTACTTGAGCTGGCCGACGCCAATGTAGCCGGTCATGTCCTTGTCGAAAACTTGGAAACCGCGACAGTACTCCTCGGGTTCGCCGGGGTCGCGGAAGCCGCCGGGACGGTTCAGGATGCGCTGGAAAGTTTCGAAATCGACTGCAATTGTTAGTTTCGTATGCCTCTTGTGCATCCCTCGCGCTCCTTGGGAGAGCACTCCGTCTCCTGTCGTCTCAGGGGCAAACAGCCAAACCAGAAGCAGGACGCTACTCACAGTCGCCGCCGACGTTCTTCTCGAGGTCGCGCACCTCGCTCAGCGTCGGGTTCTGGCCGCAAGCGCGCAGCAGGTCGCCGAGGCTGTCGAGAGCGACACGACCATTGCCGCGCTTATCGAACAGGGAGAACGCCTCCTTGTAGTTGGTGGAAGCCTGGGCATCGAACTGGTTAGAAGCCATGGCGAAAGCGTTGCGTATTGTGGATTGTGTGTGCGTGTGTGCAGAAAAGGAAGTGCGAATATGAACAAGAGCAACGGCGATGCAGGAGTCAAAGAGGTAGCGATGGCTCGTGGCGATGGAAAGTTCGCAGAAAAGGAGGGCGCAATTTGTTGACAGCCGTCTCCACGCCGACAGCACGCAAAACACTACAAAGCACCAAACGCTTGCCCTAGCACACTGGAACTGGAGTCACCGCCCACGCTAAAAACGCTCCTAGAGGAGCGAAAAGCCCTGGGATTTTAGTACCCAAATAGCATCTGACCGAAGCCCATCTAGCGGTGCACAAGGGTTTTCGGCGTGTCTTTTTGGTGCGATTTTGGCGTCGATTTTGGCGTGGGCAGTCCCGGTTCCTGGTGTGAGATTCGGCGTGTGGCATTGATCGGTGGTCCCTTTGCCGGTCCTTTTGTCGCGCTGCTTTTCTAGACTGCACGCTTGTTTACACGGGCAACACCTGTAGGTCCGTTTGTGCAACTCACCATTGTTTTGATTTGCTAGTGCTCGAAAGCTGAACAGAAAATGGTATTACCGAGCGTCTGGCGGTCGGTCAATTTGGGTGATTGTAAAATGCGTTGGTGCAAAGCAAATTCGAAAATGGAAATCTGGTGATGTTTTGAGAAGAATGTGGCAGAGGAGACAGGAGAGGAGGGCGATAGACGGCTTAAGAGGAAGAAGAAGGAAAGCAGAAGACGGCAGAAACAGAAATGGGCAGGCACACGCTGGTGGCTTGAAACGGGCAGGATCGCTCTCACTTTAAACTGGCCATCGCCCACACACGGTTCCAGACTTTGCTCTGTCTGCTTGGGGCGATACAGTGCCCTGTGCGTTGATCCAAGCGGTGACCAGGACCCCTCACGAGCCGTGAACATTGCTACAGCAACGACTCCACTTTATTTATCAGAACCAACCGAGCCAACCAATCCACATGTCCGGCCACAGGCAATATGAAAATGGCAGTTCTGAAAGAGGCGATTGAGAAGCTGTTTGGCCTAGAGTGACAAGCAGCAAAGTGTAGTCTGGTCCGGTGTACATCGGCTTCGTGAGGTCATACGGAAACGTAGATGGCATCCTCAGCCGTGTTGGTGGCACTTTCCACAAGTAACAACCGACAATACGCGTCCTTCCAGTCACTTCGTGGTCTGCTCTTGCCTATTTAATTGTACGCGCATCGCAATTATTAAGTAACCCGTTTAGTTGCATCTCTGACCCGTTTGCGTTCTTGTTCAAGACCAACGTAGGCAAATATATCAGAAAGCGTGAGAAGAAGGCGACGTTTCTCATTTCAAAAGGAGGAAATAAGAAACACTTTCTCCCATTAGTAGGAATTGTGAAACGACATCGCATTAAAATTGTGCATGTCAAGGGAGGTAGTTGTGCATGCTAGCATGCGATCCAAATCGGGGTTATGCACCTATGTAAACAAACGCGACAGAACGGGCCAATCACAGGCCAGTTCTGTCATGCCTGCAACTGTTGGTACTCACGCTGAAGCTTGCTGCGCTAAGTCGACACATCCTGAACACCAGCAGCTTCAACCTCTCGCGTTGACAGTTTTCTATTCTCTGCTTGTCACCAGTCATCTCGACGACCTTTCGCCACTTCAACTCGGCCCAATGAACATGCAAAATCTGTAGCCGACACAATCACAGCCTCCGTTCTCAGCGCGTTTTCCAAATCTTCCCACTTCCTTTCCGCATCTCATCTTTTTCCATATCTCGCCCCCGGCTGTCGTCAGCCACTCTCCATCGCGATGGACGCGACCGATTACGACGAGCAATATTTCATTTTTGACAACCGGCTGTCCTCTTTCCAAGGCCCGCAACCCGTCGCCAAGCGGAGGCCGTCAACCGCTGCTGGATCTAGAGCGCCCAAGGCCCTGACGTGGCCTCACAAATCGCCGGCTCCCATTGACGTGAGTTGAGTCTCCTTGCGTCTCGTCACTACTTCCCGGTCGTTTGCTTCTTGCTAATCTTCATTTAGCTCGCGCGAGCTGGTTTCTTCTTCAACCCACAGCCGAGCAACCCCGATAACGTTCGCTGCTTTCTCTGCCACAAAGACCTCGACGGCTGGGAGGAGGACGATGACCCGCTACAAGAACATCTCAAGCACTCGGGCTCGTGTGGCTGGGCCATCTGTGCTGCCATAGAGCTCGAGCTGGGCGACGTTGTCAACGAAGACCCGCGTCTGCCATACCTCCTGGATGCCCGCAAGTCCACCTTTGGTGGTCGGTGGCCATACGAGAGCAAAAAGGGTTGGAAATGCAAGACCAAACAACTCGCCGAGGCGGGATGGAAGTACACGCCTACACTGGAGTCGGATGACAACACTACGTGCACGTACTGCCAGCTCGCACTCGACGGCTGGGAGGCTAGCGACAAGCCAATGTTCGTACCTGTTCACCTCTTATCTCCTCTGCTTTACGTTCACTAACAGATTGTACAGGGACGAGCATCAAAGACGGTCGCCCAACTGTCCGTTTTTCACACTCATCAGCACAAACCCGGCACCGAAAAAAACAACACGCGGCAAGTCGGCAAGAACGTCTAAGGCGACGCGTCTTTCCATCCAGTCCGTGGCCACAGTGACTTCCGACGCGCAGTCCGTGGCCGACCCCGACGACAGCATCCTCACAACCACCACCGTCGTGACCCAGGGCGGCCGGAAAACCGCACGGGCACGTAAGACAGCAACTGGCACGACGACAGCTAAAGGCCGCAAGACGCGTACAAAAAAGGACGAACCGGTCCCGGTACCTGGGCCTGAGCCGGAGGTTGAAAGTACTATAATTCCTGAGGAAGAAGCCGCTGCTGCCGAGCCCCTGCCACCGGTGCCCCCAAAGGCGTCACGGGGTAAGAAGCGGACAAGCGACGAAATTGATTCGGCTGCCGCGGATGCAGTTGAGGCGCCGGCGCCCAAGAAGAAGCGTACTACGCGTGTCCGTGCGAGCAGCAACGCGGTGCAAGCCGAAAGGAACGACTACGCCATGTTTGATCCTATGCCACGGGAGGCCGACGAGTCCGCTATTGATGCCGAGCTACGCGCATTGGAGAAGGATATGGAGGTGGACGTCGATATGGACCAGCAGCTACAACAGCAACTGGAGAAAGAACAGGAGCAGGAGATCCAGGTTCCTAAGAAGGGCCGGAAGACGGGCACACGCAAGGCGTCTAAGCAAATACGGAAGACGAAAGCAGCCTCGGTTGCTCCCGAGCCAGAGATTGAAATCGCCGCGCCAGAACCAGAAGTACCGCAGAAAGATAAAAAGACGGAGCCGGAGCTTCAGCCAGAGGTTCAGCAGCCGGAACCACCGACAGCTGGATACAGTAGTATTCCCGAGGCCAAGCCGAAGACCAAGGGCAAAACGAAGTCGAAGAAATTGTCCCTTCCTCCCCGGCATTCAGCGCAACCACGACTGTCTCTGCACGATATTGAACAGATGGAAGGGCCAGACGAGCTGCACGAGGAAAGCTTTCTGAGCGTTGGCAGCAGCGGCACAGTTGTCCATGAGGCTGTCGAAGAGCCAGAGCCAGCACCGCCTGCAGCTGCGCCGCCAGCAAAAAAAGGCCGTGGCCGGCCACCAAAGAAATCAGCCGAGTCTACGTCGTCTTCAGTACGGTCCAGCGCTGCTGAGCAAGCCATCGAGGCCCAGCTGCAAGCAACGGCCCCAACCAAAATTACGCCGATTCCACCCCCGTCCATCCCTGCCATGGCCATGTCTGCTGAGCAGTCTGCGCCGAAAAAGCGCAAGAGCAGCAATGTTTCGAACAAGGAGACAGTCGTTCCGACAGCAGCTAAAAAGTCGCAAACGGACAAGGATAAGGCCCTGCCTCCTTTGCCGCAGTCCAAACCGGCGCAACAACAGCGAGATTCCCACGCGGGCATCACTCCTGTGCCAGTACCCGTGCTCGTCTCGATGCCTGCGCGTGTAGAGAGCCCCGCACCCGCCACACCTCGCAAGCAGCAGTCGCCCGTTGCGCTCGCCAAGCAGGCGACGCTGTCGCCGTCGCAGTCGCCGCAGTCATCAGATGCCGAGAACCAGCCTCCGTCGTCACGGCCAGCGACCACGAGCGCCAAGGGCAAGCGTGTTGCACTGGCTCCCATACAGATGCCGCTTCCGGCGGTCAACGCTGTCACGCCTGGCGGCGTGTCGACGCCCGTGCGTACGGGATCGCCATCGAAGAGGGCCAACATCCTAGGTGGTGGACTGCGCAGCGCCATCTCCTGGTCTGCGGTCGACGTGGATGCAATCTTTGGGCTCAACAAGGAGAACGGCGACGACATCCTGAAAAGCCTGTTGCGGAAGGGCACAGATCTGAGCACGCCAGAGAAGGGTATGACGGTGGAAGAGTTTATCTTCCACAACGCGGGACAGGCGGAGCGTCTGCTCAAGGAGGAGTGTGAGGCGATGGTGAGCATCTTTGAGCAGCAAGGGTCACGGGCGATGCACGTGCTGGAGTCACTTGAGGTGGAGGAGTAGGAAACACGGATAGGGCATGCTGTACAGCGTTTGCATTTTGGGTTGAGGTTTACAAAGCTTGGGAGGGAAAATGTTTCCTCGGTCTCTGCTTTCTGGATATTGCGCTTCGGTTTTCTCATTCTCATATAATGGCATCTCATTGTGGCTTTTTGCTATCTTATAACTTCATATCTTCATGGTGCCTTCCCCCTTCACTTTCTCCCGTCTCTGTAGGCGTACCAAATCCTATGTGGTGGTCGCGATCTGTTATGCGCGGTTTCTAGAGAAAACCAGCGCGGCGGAGAGCAGATACGCGGCTGCCGACGGACATGCGCCGGTTGACATAGACGGGGCGCATGTGCATGTGGACATCCCAATAGTCGGGCCGCTCGGTGCGTACGATGGTGCAGGGGAGACGGGGCGGTAGGGCGCATGTCTCCTTTTCTTTGCTGCTGTTGTTTCTGTCGTTGTCGCCGCCATCGTCATGCTCCCCCAAATAACACCCTTTGAGTTCCCGCTCCTTGCTGCCGACGGGGGGCAGTGTCGGCAGGTACAGCACGAACCGCTCCGGGGTCAGCCGCCGCTGGCTGCGCGCGGCGTCCAGCAGCTGCGCAAACAGGCGCGTCTCGGCGGCCGTCTTGGGCCAGCCGCGCAGATCGTGGGCCTCGACCCAGACGTGCAGCCGGCGCAGGTTCGGGAGGCGGTCGGCGGCGAACCCAGCGCACAGGCGCTGCCAGGCATTGTTGCGGGCGTTGATGGTGACGGCGCCGGTGCCTGCGTCGTGGTTGTGGATGTGGTTCAGGACGTGATTGTGGATGTGGTCCTGGTTAGAGTGGTCTGGATCTTGTGCCGCGGGCGCTTCGGCGGCGGTAATGATGGCCTGGTCTGCATCGTCCGGCCGCAGGTAAAACTCGAGCAGCGAATTGGACAGGTGCATGACCAGCCGCACCGACGACACGCAGGGCCAGCGCGCGAGGAAGTCTTGGGCGGTGGACATCTCGGTGAACTGGAAAGTGAGGGCGCTGTACAGCAGGTCGATGCCCTCCACATAGGCGCGGCGGCACGTCAAGAGGACCGGCAGGTACGGGCGGCGCAACGGCGGGCGGCGGCGGCGGTGGCTGTGGCTGTGGGGGGTGGTCGCCAAAGAGGAGAACGAGGCGGAGGCGGCTGCCGTCTCTGGGTTGCTTTCGCTCGCCGACGACTTGGCCGCCCCCGAGTAGTATTCCTCGCAGGCCCAGTGCCCCAGCCACGGACTGTTCCAGCGGGCGCGCCACGTGGACGAAGGCGTGGCCGAGTCCGAGTTGGAGTGGTCGTAGATGCTGTTGTTGGCGGCGACGGCATCGAGATCGGCGCGGTGGGCGGCGGCCAGGCGCTGTGGGCGGACGTCGTCGGCCTCCGGCGGGCGTCGCGGCGAACGTGCCGGTGCTGTGGAGGAGCCTTGGAGGCTGTCACGCCGTCCATTGACGCTGTGGTCGACATGGTGGTGGTGGTGGTAGCTGTCGTCGTCGTCGTCGTCGTCCACGTGTAAAAAGCAGGGCGCCGACGTGAAACCATTGACCTGGCGTGTCCACGGGGATGGTTGTTGTTGCTGTGGAGGTTGAGGAGGTTGTGGAGGTTGTTCCTGCTGTTGCTGCTGGGTGTCGCCCGTGCGCTCTCCATCGCCCCTGCTGTGGCTGGTGCTCCTGCTGCTGCTGTTGCTACTGCTGTTTCGGCCCCCAATTCTCGGTATAGGCGACTTCAGCCAGGCCATAGACGGCAGCATGACAGCCGTAATATGCGGCGACAGCCCGCCGCGCGCCGACGCCGAAACGTGCGAGCGTATGTCGTCCTTGTCGTCCTTGTCGTCCTCTCCACCGGCCCCACTCGCCTGGTCGCCATAGCCTTCGCTGCCATAGGTGCGCCAGACCTCAACATAGATCATGCGCCGGATCTCGCTCGGCAGGCGTGTAAAGAAGGACGAGTCTGTCTGCTTGTTGGCCGGCGATGCCGGCGGAGGGAGGTGTGAGCGGCTGGACGGGCGTGTTGGGTCGGTGGCCGCCGTATCAATGGCGGCTGTAGCTGTATTCGCAGTCTCCCCGAGAAAGTGTGCCAGGAGCGGCGGCTGGGCGCGCGGCCCAAAATCAGGTTCCATATTGCCTGTTGTCACGTTTTTGAAGTCGGCTGTATCTTTGCGACGGCTCGAATGAGAAAGGGGAGAGGAGGGAAGATACTTGGAGTACGGCGCGTCTTTAACTCGATGTTGCGATTCATATGGAGGGGTGTTGTCGAGGAGTTGGGGCTATCTACACGGTATAGTAGCTCTTATCGCACGCACTCGCGCCGTCCAAGTAAGCTTACTGGACTGTGCCAATAACAGCCGGAGCACCATATTAGCCTACCCAGTGACGGGCTTCATCCGTCAACCTATGCAGCCTCTCTAGTTTCAGGATTTAGGCTTCCATGAAACGATGCAGACAGCTACTTTTAAGGTTGCAATTACGGACTACCGGGGAAATGCCGTGAAGGGTGGAAGAATCTCGTTCGCTTGTTTCTTTGCTGCTAGAAGCCCTTCCTTTTCCATCGACTTCTTATTTTGCTTCTCGATTGTGTCCTGTTTCGCTGTTATTTCGTGAGATGCCCATTCATAATACTACACAACTGCACACACCCTCCATAGTCCTTTCTTCACCGCGCTGTCAAAACCCCTGGACCCCGTGCCACACCGCCTCCCATCCAGGATAAAATGGACTTTCGTCCAATGTTCGCGGTTCCCAATCGGCTGGCACCACGCCCGACGCGACCTGCTCGTCTGCCCACGATTTTAGGAGAGACACCACCTCCTTGTGAGTGTGCTCCATGCACTTGCCCGGCGTCACCAACCGCGGGTCGCCCTGGTCGAGGATCTGGTGCAGCAGCGCCGGCACGTACGGCTCACTCCTCAGGTCCGTCAGGGGCGTAAACGCCGGCTTGAAATTGAACACAATCGCGCCCGTCAGAGGCAGCCGGCGCAGCGTCTGCCAGTCGCAGCGGAGATGCAGTGGCAGTCGTCCACTGCGTCCACCATCGCCATCGCCGTCGCCTTCCGCATCAAGGCCCGGCCGGTCGGCCTCGTGCTCGACAAACAGCGGCCGCCCCTCTTCGATGCTCCACGATCCGCGCTGGATCGGCTGGTCCGTCGGCAGCTTGGCAAAGTAGCGGTCCATGCTGCGCGCCATTTTCGTCGCATAGTCCGTCACCCGGCCGTGGATGTCCTGCAGCGGCCGCCCGCGGTGCTGTCCGATGCACCAGCCGACGGACGAGCAGACACTGGCCGCGCGCAGGCGGTAGCGCCCGTCGCCTGCGCTGCGCGTGACAATGGCAAAGTCTTCGGGAATGTTGTCGAGCAGGACTTGGAGCGCACGGTGGCCATAGACATCGTTGTCCAGCAGGACTTTTGTGCCGAGCACCTTGTTGACAAACACGCGCACGGTTTCCTCCTCCCCCTCCCGCCCGTCCATTGCAAAAAGATGCGGATGCCGCCGACAGACAAACTGCAGCGCCATCTCCAGCAGCTCGCGGCACGCCAGAGCAGCCACAACGCTGTCGTTGTCGTCGTCGTCGTCGTCGGGCGTGCTGCAGAACAGAATCTTTTCTCCGTGCGCCTCATAAAGGGCGCGCCGTTCCGCCAGACTCGCTTTGTAGCTGTGCTCCAGCTCCAGCCAGTAGTCGGGGTCCAGTTTCATAAGTGCTGGGCAAGGCCAGGCGGCAGTGTCAGTAATTCACATGGATTATCAGTCTAAGCTCAACCTACCCATGTGTTGATGGTATCGCCATCGAAATGTTCGAAACGGCCGGAAGCGGGCCGTCTCTAGCGTAAATCCGGCCGGGCATGGCTGTGGGTGGGGCACGCCGCTGAGCACCGCGTAGTCCGGAAAGGAGCCCACGAGACGCCGAAGTTTGCAAAGACGAATGCCGGTAGGGGAGACAAATCCACCTTCGCCCTCTTTGACACTGTCCTTCTCGACTGTGCCAAAGGGTGGTGGCAGCACTTGGCGGCGCGACGGAGGAAGGAGATACGCAAGGCCGTCTGGGTCGGCTGTCGACTTCTGTGAGGATGGTGATGTTTTGGTTGGTTTTGTTGGTCGCACGATACGTTTGTGAAATGTCATTACCACATATGCCAAAACGAGAAAAACCACGCCTGCGGCCGCCGCATTGGTTGAATAAAGTGATACCAGGCCCTTCATGTAAGCGGCCGCATCGACAGCGGGCTGCGTGAGATCCATGTCAACAGAGACAACTGCCCATCTAACGAAAGTATTTAACAGCGATAGAATCAGCCTCTCTCGACACCAAAGTGACAAGCGATGATATCTTGGTATCGTGCCCTCGCGCCCTTCCCGTGTTGCTCCTCTTTTGTTGGCTTTCCGTGGTCGGCGAACCCCGCAGATAAGCCATCGCAGTCCATCCACACCATTTTTTTTTTGAGAAGCGCACCCGATGTGTCAGTGAGACGAACCGTGAACATCGTTTGTGCTAACAGTGAGGGGAGAAGAAACACGGACATTTATGACGGAATTTTTTCCTTGTTGGGAAATAAATCATAGCGCATGGTCTGTTATTTATTTGTTATTCGTTTCTTTTTCTGTATTTGTAAAGAAAATAAAAGAAAAGCAAAGTTTAAAATATTCGAAGAAAATTAAAAAGATCGTTGTGTTTTGTTCACCAACGCTTTTTTTAATAAAAAAAAATATTAAGAGAAGCAAATTAAAGCGAAGGAGTAGCACACAACGCCATGTGTCAAAAGAAAACCACAGCGACATAAACTAGAGAGATCACTCAGCATCGCCGCAAATGCTTTCTGGCCCATCTCGGCCATGTAGCATCCATTTCGCTTGGAAGGCCGTTGCCGCTCTATGATACAAGGAATCAGGGACAGCCGAATCGATGGATCTCCAGTGGGTGGCCACCCAGAATGACGGGTCGGGGAATAATCAAAATTGGCCCAATTTATGTCCACAGCCAAATAAAGATTGTCTTCGACAAACATGGTCAGCCTGAAGTCCACCCTGATTCCTCTCGGCACTGGATAAGAGCGTTCCTGGCAGGCTGTCCCGTCTTCTCACAAGTACGATGTACGATGCCTCAGCAACAAGGCTGTCGTCTGATATTGCGGTATTGTCTGATATTAATTTATTTTTGTCTGCCTGCACGCCATGTGTTTTACCTTTTACCACCTTCATCCCAACTCTATTTTTGCAGCTACCACTTTACCCACAGCCAAAACATGTCTTTGCGTCTTTATTCTCACCCTTTTCCCATCCATTGTTTCGATACCGGATTTCTATCCCGGCCACCCCTAGCAGTCGAGTCTCTCCGTTGCCAAGATTTTTAAACACACCAAACGCAAAAGCCAACACGGACTTCAGCCGACCGGGACGCCCCAACGGAGAAACTGCAGAGACCAGAGAGCAGAGAGCAGAAAGCTCTGGCTTTATAAAATCACGCATATCGGTGTATTCCGGGAGAGACGACGAAACAATAGGTCGATCTGGGGCCAGTTGCCGGGGCCTTGGGCGCAGTGTTGTCAAGCGTTTTCTTTTTTTTTTTTTTTTTTTTTTTTTTTTTTTGTGAATGACTATATGTCTGGCCTCACCAGCGAGACTCTGAATTGGTGTTTGATTATGCATGCTTCTTGATGCAGTTTTCTATTCGATTGTCGGACTACACTCACTTACCTTGCTGCTACATCCTACTGTCCACCGCGTCTAGACCTCGACAGAACGATTGGCGTGTCTCGTCAATTTGATGGGCACCCTCTTTCGGGGCAATTATTTATTCGGTTTCAATCTACACACCACGCCACTCGACATGACCTTGATAAAATGAGCTAAAACAGGCGAAACAAGCCTTGTTGCCGATGCATGGCACAATAAAGTGCACGGTATGGCACAATAAAGTGCACGGTATTCTTGTTACCCGGAGTGTGGTGCATGTCCCTCGCTTCTTACCTCCCAGCTTATCATCCACCTTGACAGAACACCGTGAAATAAGAATAGCATGGGCAGATGCCGGAAGAAAGGGAACAAGTGTCGAGGCAAAAAGGTGTGGCGTACACCCCGTCCCAGTCTTTGGACCCGTCATTCCTCAACTTCTTGATCCACCGTGGCAAGTCCAAACGAAAGGATTTGTTTCTTCAACCTCTTGTCAATCTCGGATACCGTCATATCCTGCCGCGTGTTGGACCTTTCTCCTCCACCTTGCGTCCGGCCCTTGTCCTTGCTTTTCCCTCTTATCTGCTGTCCCGTCCGTCATACCGTCACCGAATAACATATAGACATATGACAGCACAGCGGAGCAGAGTCCAAAGTGCCTACGTCAACGGCACCTCAAGCTAATCGTTTCGTAGATGGCCCATGCCCAGTTAAATATCCCTCGTCTGCTCTTGCGTTGGAGCCCTTGTTCTGCCTTTTATCATATTTCACTAACTCGCTGCCATTGACACAACCCATACATTTTAGCTGTAGACATCGAATCACCTTCTTCACCAGAAACTGTCACTCTCGCACCCGGTTTATTGTCACAAACACACACAATCACATTCATGGCGCCACAATCACTACTCCAGCTGTTGCTGCTGGCATCTGCTGCTGCCGCAGACGTCCCGGTCTGGAGTCAATGTTGGTCGAATCCATCAACGAAGCGAAACATGTTTACAATCAGAGACTAACACTGTCCAGGCGGCGGATCAAACTATGCTGGTCCGACTGCTTGTGCATCCGGCAACTACTGTAGCTTTGGAAAGTAAGTATCACAATAGTTTTGTTTAACTTTTCAATGAGCCCGTCCTCTGACCCTGGCAGCCCGTGGTACTCCCAATGCCTACCCGGAAGCGTGGACGAGCCGCTTGACAGCAACATTCCTGATTCCCCTCTCGAGACAAATACTGTCCAGACAATTATCACGATTGGCGGCAACCAGGGCAACGGCGGTGCACCGCCCGTCACCCTCACCACGTCCTACACGTTCCTTCTGCCCAGTACCACCATTTACGCCCATCACCACACGTCGACCCAGACACCAGCACCTCCTTCGCCCGGCAGCGGTGGCGGTGGCGGCGGTGGCGGTGACGGCAACAGTGGCCCTCCCTTGCTGACGGTCATTGGCGGCACCACGTACACGATCCTGCCCGATGCGCCCGCCACGGGCAACAACAAGCGGACGGCCGTGGCCCCGGTAGCGGCACGGGCGACGACGCTGTACAACGACGGACGTCCTCTGGTTCCCGACGAGGCGCTGTCGCTGCAAAAGGAGCACATCAAAGCGACGCCTACGGCGCAGTGGACGACGATTGTGACTGTGAAGAAAGCATGAGGGCAGTAATTTCCCTTCGGTTTTCCCGACCTTTGACCTTTGCTTGTTTTAACGGCCGACGAAAGTGTCTCCAGTTTGGAGAAGTAAAGAAAAAAAAGAAGGCGTTTCTGTTGGTGTTTTGTAATGTCTAAGACGGGTGGTGGGTTGCCTTTCCAAGTTGAATCGATGGTGCAATGTGGGCGGGAAGGGACCAGTTCGATAGAAAGCTACAACTAATACATGTCTGGTCGAATTCTTTCACTTTATTTCCAAACGTAATTTCTCTCTTGCTCCCCATTTCTCCCATGGAAACCAATTTCGTTGCTGTCATCGTGGCAAGTACGATAGCCCTCACGCTATACAAAGTCTAGACCATAAAAACCCTTTGCATGTCCGACATTGTTTCCCGCGGACGATGCCGTAAACAATGTGGAAAGTGAAGATAAGTGTCCCTGGTGATGGGAGACGGGACGGACAATTGGGGGGGAAGCGTCCCGTGTCTGTGTGTTGTACTTTATATCAACAGACGAAAATGCACAGCACACGGCTCGCCCGTAATTGAGATGGTCTCTTGGTCAAAGGCTGATGATGCCCTGCTGGTATACAGATCTGTTTTCCATCGTCTTTTGTAGGTGCTATTCATAGAATTCATCGACGTTAAAGAAATATTCCTCGTCGAATGAATAGCAGAAACACAGCTATGTCATAAACAAGCATGTGAATGTGTAAATGAAAATGTCCATTAAAGATAAGAATCCGAAGCCAATTTTTATGCTCCCGGGTCGAATGAGACCAAGAAACCACGCACTTTATACATTCCTATTTCTGAGACTTTCCACTCTACTTTTCACGCCGCTTAAGCAGGCAGTGCCGTGCCCACTTGCGCTGGAAACGCTCTGGCAGGAAATCCAGGCTCGGAATCCACAACGCGCGCGCCAGGAACCCGGTGTTGCCTGCGTCCAAGAACGGCTCGCACGTCACAACCTCCCAGTTGGCGGTATCTGCCACGTAGTCGGGTTCATGCGGCGGCAGTGTGCGGCCCTGCCGCGCGTTCTCCGGGTACTGCGTGTCCACCAGGAACGCGCACGTGCTAATGTCGGTGTACGTGCTCATGTCCTCCTCGTTGCGGTCGTTCATGCCCGTGGTCGGCAACCACGTGCCGCTCCAGAGGCCGAAGCCTGTGCGGGCCTCGGAGAACTCGCCCGGCAACAGGCCGCGGAACTCGGACCGCACAAACTTGACGTGCATGTTGCGCGGCAAAAAGAAGGAGCTCGGGAAACGGTACCAGTCCTTGCCCAGACAGACAAAGTCCCCCGCACCGCCCACAATGCTGCCGTCGGCCTGCCCTGCCGGCACGTCGTGGTGCACCACGTTGCCGCCCAGCGGCTTGTAGACGGCCAGCGGCGCCCCGTAGCCGGAAATGACGCCATAGACCCGCAGGCCGCTGATGGCGAGGCAGCTTGCAAAGACGCCGAGGACGGCCAACAGCTTGACCTTGCCAGGGACGAGGCCGGCCAGAGTGCCCGGCGTAGCGTGGCCGATGCTCTCGAGGACAATGTGCAGCGCAAACGCGGCATTGAGTGCGAGGAACGGGTACGCCGGGTACATGAAGCGCTCCTCCTTGTGCGGCTGCAGGGTGAAGATGGCCAGCCACAGGTAAAAGGGCGTCAGGAACACAACGGTGCGCATGCCCGACACGAGGCCCTTCTTGGAGGTGCCGGCCATCTTCTGCAGGAGGAAGAGCGGCAGGGCCGCCAGGGCCAGCACGAACCAAATGTTGAAGTTGAGCGCCAGGTTCTTGAAATAAAACGGCCACGGCTCGGTGCCGTAGAGGTTGGGGCCGCCGCCGTCCTCGGCCGCCGAAAAGACGTTGTACTTGACAATGTTCCAGGCAACGACCTCGAACTTCTTGTAGAAGAACGTATTGACCGCGGCGTCGAGTCCCACGAGCAGCAGTGCCGCGACACCGCCGCGTGCCACGCGGACAAAGCCGCCCAGCAGCCCAGCGCCGCCGCCGCTCAGCGCCAGCACGCCCTCCTCCAGCAGGAAGGGCGCGCACAGTGCCGCGGCAAAGGGCCAGCCCAGCACGCCGGCAACAGCGAACCAGAAGATGCCCTGCAGCGTCTTGAGCCCACCGCGCCAGTTCATAAACGCAGTCGCCCCCAGCATCACGGCGTACATGGCGAAGCTCGAGGGCAAAAAGGCCGTGCTCGCGTGGAAGTTGCCGGGGCTCGTACACAGCGCCAGGAGGAAAAAGAAGCCGATCCGCGGGTGGACGGTGCCACTGACCACCTGGAACATGAGTGTCTGGCAGAGGGCGCAGACAAACGCGAGAACGTAGCGCACAAAGTAGAATTCGCCGACCTTGGAAGCCTGCGGCAGAATGCGCCGGAGCCCGGCGACCACGGCGTGGAGGCCAATGTAGAGCCAGCTGCGGATGGCATGGTCGGGCGAGTACTCCCAGGTCTGGCGGCCGTAGCCGTGAACAAGATAGTGGGCAGGCTCCCAGTAGTTGAAGGTCTCGTCGCAGTCCTGGATGGGCGCAAAAACGGCCGACAATATGTTGGCGGCGAAGAAGAGGTAGAAGGCCGAGATGGGTTCTATGCTGTTGCGGCTTGCCCTGGTGCTGTTAGCGTGTGCACTGCCCACGCAAGAAGGGCAACCAGTCAATGGCACAAGGGCACTCACTTCTTCTTTGCATGCTTGGCCGATGCATGCACAAACTCTTGATTTGCGGGCGGTTCTGTTGTGGGCGCCATTGTGCCATTTGCTCCGCTACAGAGTCGTTTGAGCAGCGACTATGGGAGGAGGGGAAACGGTGGCAGGCGTCGTGTCGTCTTTTCAAGTCGGTCGAGAGTGTCAGAAGCTCGATGGCAGTGGCGAGAGGGACGGCAAATACTGGTGGTGTTGTTGTGCACTGCCCAACAAAATGCGAGAATCACAAGGCAAAATACACTGGAGCAGCTTAAAGCTTACTTTGTTGAGATCGCAGTCGATGCCAGGTAGCAGCTACTCCGTAATGCTGAGCTCCTTCCCGCCGAAGCTTCTAAATAAGACAGCATACAATACGCCAAAAGAGACACTAGCCCCGTCTGGGAAGGGGCATTTACAGCGTATCTATGGCGCCCCTTCGCCCCCGCCTCATTGTGTCAAAGTCGTGTTGGAGGTATTGGCGCTGGAACATAGGCAGTAGCTCCCCGGAACAGCGGCGCAGATTTCTCCGGCGGAAAGCGATAAGGAAATTTTGGCGGCAGAAAATTCTTATCAGTTGGCGGTAAGAACATTTTTCAGCGTAATCGCCTTCACTGCTCTCATCTGCGACTAGAACAGCATCACGAAACATACTACTCATTCGCTTTTCTCCGTCCCTTGCTGTTCTCAGCTATTATTGCTTTTAACTATGGCTGAACCAAGCCAGCTGCCTGACACTGCCGTCGCAGGGCCCGAAACGACTGCGACGCCGACTGAGGTCACTGCGCCTATCGCTGCCGAGTCGACAGCAACGACAGAGCCCGAGACGGTCCCGAACTCCACATCTACAGAGCCAATCGCGCCGACAACTGCCTCCGAGAAACGTCAGTCTGCCTCAAACATTGCCACGGCACCCTCTGATGAGTCAACTCTTGGCCGTGCGCACACGACAGCCAATGGAGATGACGTCATGAAGGTCGACGGCGACGCTCCGACCCAGTCAGATGCCCCCAAAGAAGAGACTGCACCGACCGCTGCACCGATAGAGACGGAGAACACAGAGATGATCGACTCTCACGAGGCTGAGGCCCTTAAGAACGAGTCCGCTGCACCAGCCGCCCAGCCCTACCTTACGGACGCACTAGAGGCCATGCTCAACGGATCCATGGAGATCGAACCACAGACGGACGGACGGCCCCAAGAAGCCAGCGCACAAGACCTGCCTCTGGTGATTCAGCCCACAGAAACGGCCGCTGACGGCCCAACGGCAGACACGGCTGAGGGGGAGGGTGTCGACTGGGCGGTGGACTCCTCTCCGTACGAGACATCGTCGTCCGACTCGGACAGCTCTGATGACTCCGATGACGACGACGAGGAGGCCGGGTCGGACGCAGACATGCTCGGCGTGCAAGACACCGTGCGCATGATGATGGAATCGGCTATGCAAGACTCGGACGACGACGAAGACGGCGGCAACCGGGGCGGCGGCAACATCCGCAGCAAGAACGAGGAGCCCGAGACAGCGCCGCCCAAGCCCGAGGTCGAGATCGGCCCCAACGACGAGGTAGTGCTGCTGGGTCCCATTCTCCACATTGTCGAGAACTCGGCTGTCATTCGCGGCAACACGGACGGTGCGTACCGTGTCCTCGATGCCGGCTCGGTCCTGTGCAAAGCTGACCGCACTGTGGTGGGCGCCGTGGCCGACGTCATCGGCAACGTGCGCAGCCCCATGTACGTGCTCCGGTTTGCCCAGATGGCAGAAATTGCCAAAAACGGTCTGGAAGCCGGCCAGGATCTGTACTACCCGACCAAGCACGCGTCGTTTGTGTTTACCGAGGAGCTTCGCAACATCAAGGGCTCCGACGCCAGCAACCTGCACGATGAAGAAGTGGGCGCGGAAGAGGCCGAGTTCTCGGACGACGAGAAGGAGGCGGCGCACAAGCGAGAGCTCAAGGCGCGGAGGCGCGGTGGTAGTGCTGCGGGCGGCAACAACGACCGGAATGGCTCTCAAGGCAAGCGGGGACAGAACAACAACAGCAACAACAACCGCGGCGCCCATCCGCTGAGAAACGAGGTCAACGGTGGTGGCAGTGGGAGCGGCAGCGGCCTCAAGTACGACGAGGACGAAGACGATGGGCCGTACAAGCCTCTCACGCGGCCCGCGAACTTTGGCCAGAACAGCTTGCCGCCGATTCCGCCTCCGTCTGCCAGCACAAACAACAATGCCAGCGCGGCGGCTCATGCTGGTGGAGGCTCGTCCAGGGGCAATCAGCGGTTCAACCGAGGCGGTTCTGGGCCCGGTGCAGGTTATGGGCGGGGAGGAAACCGGGGTGGCGGGGGCTTTGGCTTCCGTGGCCGCGGCGGCTACGATAACAACCGGGGTGGCCGTGGCGGCTGGAACGGCGGAAACCGCATCAACAACAACAGCACCAATAACACCATTCAGGGCAGCAACTACTCTCCCAATTCGCGACAGACCTCGTTCAACTACAACCCCTCCGCTGCGACTCCTCCACCACCACCACCGCAGTTGCAACAGAACCAGCAGCATCAGTCATCCACGGCACCATGGCCGTTTGCTGGCGTGCCCTTCCCTCCGCCACCACCGCCTCCACAGTCGGGAAGCGTGCCACAACTGCCGCCATCCGCTGCCAACATGGCCGCGGCAGCGGCGCTACTCAACAATGTGCAAGTTCAGCAGCTGCTTCAGCAACACCAACAGCAGCAGCAGCGGCAACAGCAATCTCAAGCGGCCGCGCCAGCTTGGCCCGGGATGCCTGCACCACTTCCACAACAGCAGTCCGGGTACCAGTTCCAATATCAACAGTCGACGTACCAGCCGCCACAGACGCAACAGCAGCAGCAGCAGCAGCAGCAACCAGCAGCGCCAGCCTTTGACGCGGCCACCAGTTTCCAGTACTTATTCCAAGGCGGTGCTCAGGGACAGACACCTCCGCCCCCTCCGGGCTGGGGCCAACAGCCTCCTCCATCATGAGAGGATGAAAGACAACTCCTCTCAGCTTGTGGGACGTATATTACGGACACGAATTTGGAGACGCCGTCTTGACGACGTCTTCCCACTTGGACTTTTACTGCATTTAGATTCCATGGCGAGCGAAATAAAAAGGCTTACAATATTTTTAATTCAAAACAATTTTTCTGTTGTTTCATGACCTTGCAAAGCCAAGCCACCTCACGACTCTTTGTAATCTCCCGCCATGAAATGAAAAAAATGCGAACAGAACAGCCCCAGTCACCGAACCCATGAACTCCCGCAAAACCCTTGTCCCAAAAGTGGCCTGCAAGGCAGACTCTAAAGATGCCCCATGCTTTTGGTACTGTTGGCTCAGGTGAGGCCCTCTGAACCGCCACGAAATTGGCGACTCATACGACTTATACGATCCAGAAACGAAAAGTCGGTAGGCCCATTTAGGTGGCCTTGAGACGACAGTTTCGATTTTCGAGCTTGCAAATGCCACAGAAAGCAACCGGCTGTCCCGAACCCAAACTACAACCACCACACTGGCAAGGTTCTTCTTCAACGGCCTCGCCAACAGTCGCTGATCCGAGAACTCAACCTGCGCCGGCCGCTGCGATGCTACCACGTCCGGCGCTTTAGTACGATGTACTCCGTACGATGTATGTCTGTCCGCATATCCTATGCGCTGTATGTCGACGCACACATGTTCAACCACGCTGTCACCGCCACCGTTTAAGTCGACGGCAAGGTAAATGGAGAGCAAACATTTATTGGACTGGCACTATGCCGTTCGCAGTGTAAGCCGTTTGCGTCGTTTGCGCCAACTGAGCTGTAATAAGTCGACAGAGCCACCGAAAAAGGTCTTAAACCCCTCTGCTCGTCCCATATTTTTGGTCCTGTCGACCCTGTTTTTCGACTTTGCTTGGTGCTTAAGCCGGGGACCTTTTCTCGGGGTTTTTCCTATGGTCCACGCACAGGAGCAAAAGCAAAAAAAGAGGAGTCGCCAATTCGGTCCAGCGTTTCAAGGTGGAAAACAGGTTTTTTTTATGTAGGGGGGGTCTCTGCAAACAAAACTTTTCGGTTCTCCAACCACGGGACGGAAACAGATGGCAGCAGGACAAACTGGAGAATCTATCGCTGCAAGGAGGTCAAACAGGCGGTCGCAGAGCAAGACAATGATATTCTTGGCGGGAGAGCGTGGTGACCAACGACGCACTACGCATTAAGGTTACAAAGATGTGGTCTTGAGAGAAACTCAAACCAGTAAACGAAGATACGTCGATCATGTGTCGTTCGTCTGCCTCCGCCCATAATCCTGGCGCGCCGAGGAAACAAACTTGAAGATATTTTCGTATCGGAAAATACGTAGATACGAAGTGGAACTTTTGCGACCTCTCCGCTTCCGCTCTCCATTATCTTTGGTGAGATTGTATGTCTCCGTACGGCATAGACCGTTTTCAATATTGATCACCGTTTATAATTATATTTTGAATTGCATCTATCAAATAGCAATAAAAGAGGCGGAAAGAGCGCCCGGCGCTCTCGCCGTTTTCATAAAAGATGAAATTGAGCATCTGTAGCGTGCGAGCGTGCCTTCCCGATGACGATGCAGCACCTTTCCGGAGATGGAAGGCGGTGATCTTTACCGTGAAAGTGCATCTCCGTCGTCGACAAGGGAAAGAGCGACACAGCCGTTAAGCGGGTCAGTTCTTTGCCCTACTGTTGATCCTTTCCCTTTTCCGAACCGTCCTGTGTCTTTCCCCCTTTTCTCTCCCGTCTCCCTTCTCCCTCACAGAGTCCAACGCCTGCGAACGTGATCACAACAAAACGATCGACATAACCCATCCTCGCCATTTCTTCCACAGGCCCCTGCACAAATGTACGGAGGAGTCGAGTGCAGCGCAGGCGCCCGGGAATCTTCTACACCGTGTGTAATGCCGAGTCGTGCGAGTCCAGGAAATCATCCACGTCCGCAGTACGGAGTAAAGCGCCTTTTTAAGTCTGATCGTCACAAGCCAGCGGTAATAAACGGTAAAGGCAGAAGACGAAAGACGAAAAAGAGCGCAAAGAAAAGGGCCATACTCCGCAGGTAGCCCTGGAAGGTGATCCCGCTATGGCGTTTTATCCTAACTTGTCCATCCAGCTTATCGGATCGATCTGGGCCGGCGTCGTCAGAACGTCGAGCTTCTTCTGACGACATTCGAATCACGACAATACGTCGTACGACATGCGACACATGTCATCCAAAACATTGCTCCATCGCCATACGACGTGGGCCACGACTGACCTCTTAATGACACCTCTTCAGATAGCCTCCGAGAAGGCTGTGGGATCTTCTTGTCCACAGTGTTGTTCACCTTTCCCACAAGCAAAGCTCAGAGAACGGGTCGCGAAGCACCCCAACAAATTTGCCCCTTTCCCTTTTCCGCCTGTCGCGTTTCTGCAAGACAAACAACGCTTTGCAGTTTGTGGAAAGGCCCGCGTTGTTGGAGTCAACCACCCCTGCCTTATTTCATTTCGCAAAATGGGGGCTTGCGCAAACCGTGCCTCCCATTCGACAGAACCGACTTTTTGGGCCACTCCATGTCAGGGGAACGAGCCAATGGCGTTGGAATGGTTCCTGGAGACGGACGAGTGACTTGGTGTTGCTTGTGTGTACTCCACTCTGTCACCGTCTCTATCATCGACCCATGCGTCGCCCTCGTGCTCTCCACGAGGAAAAAGCAAACAATGAGTTCTCGGTAAAATGCGCAACGACCGAACGAAGAAGTCAAAGTCAAGCGACGGCTGTTTGGATTTTTGAGTGGTCTATGGCAATGAGAAGACGCCCGAAATATAGGATACGAGAAACAAACAACAATGTCCCTCCCTACCGTCCGTGACATAATCCGCAGCCTGGGCAGAGAAGCCCCTTTGCACGCAGCAGCTCACTCAGTGCCAAGCACCTGGCTGTGCTGCGCTGACTGGAAGTTGCATTCTCGGACCAGGGATGGGTACGAAAGAGACCTTTACCCCTGGTCAGCAGCATCCACCACCTCCGCCGTCACTCTGCACTTCCAGGTTGCCAGTAATCCTCCTGCCCCGACTGATCGGCAGTCCCCTTCTCACTGAGAATCTCTTATCCAATGTGACCTCCATCCGTTTCCAGTTTTCGAAACCTTTTCTTTCTTTCCTCATCCACGCTCATTTGTTGTGCAGGTCGTTTCCTGTTGTATCGCCATTTCTTTGACACGGTGACCATAGCAATCGCGAGACGAGTCTTGTCTTTGTCACTCATTTACACGATCTTCGTTTTTTTTTTTTTTTTTCTTCATTTTTCAGTCGTCTTTCGACTATCGCCCACACGGAGCACCCACTCTCTTTTTATTGCCGCATTTCTGCGATATTGTCTACCGCTTCGGTATATTCTTTCACTTTCACACGACTTTTAACGGACGAGAACAGATTCTCGGGATTGATCACCAACAGAAAAGCCACCGCCAGGTACGGGACTTTGTTAGCTTGAAGCCGACGAACATTCCAGTCGACCGATGATCACCGGTTCTGGCGACACCTCATAGGCTCGACCGACATCCCCAGCCTCAACTCGCGCATTCCATTCCAGTGGGAGTCGGAGGAGTTACAGGGTCCTCCAATTTTTAAATATACGATACACCACCTACCGAGCGCCTCTTTCGCATCGTATCTCGTTTTTCTTTCGACTAGATCGACATCCCGACCTTCTTTCTTTCTCTCGTCAACTCAATTTTCTTGTCTTCCAAGTTTTTTTTTGGTTTTTTTTTTTTTTTTTTTTTTTTTTTGTTTTTCTTGGTGTTTCTTGGTTATTCTTGGTTGCTTGGTGTTCTTGCGCGCCTGTGTTCTATCAGCATCGCATTCGACTTGTCCTCAAGAGATCCAGCGCAATGATGGCTCAAGTGCGTCCCCGCGTGGTTCGCCCACACGGTGTTGGCCGTAGGGATCTGTGGGATTCCATCACCAGCGCTGTTGGCAACGCCTTTGACCCCCATGACAAAGACTCGCAGTCAACATCAACATCAACCAAGGAGCATGAGCACAAGACAAAGACCAAGACAGTCCTGACAACAGACGCCCCGAGCACGTATACTGGCCCGCTGACGACCAAAACGCAACCCACAAAACCGGCCGCAAAGACAACAGAGACCACGCCAACAAAAACCGCCACAACATCCGCCAAGGCCGCGACAACAAAAACTACCAGCAAAGCAGCTGCCAAGACCAGTGACACGACTTCGGAGCATGCCAAAGATCTGCCAAAATCCATAGCCGCGACGACCGCACCGACTTCGGAAACAAGACTGGCTGTTGACACGGCGAAGCCAACAACCACCACCAGCGCATCACCAACACTCGCTGCTGCCTCCGCAACAAACAGCGCAACCGCGTCTTCTGGCAGCAGCACCGGAGCCAAGGCAGGCATTGCCATTGGAGTCCTGGCAGGTGTCTTCTTTGTATTCGCAATCATCTTCTTCCTGTTCCGCAGGCACCGAAAACAGGTGGAAGACCGGCGGGTAGCCGACGACGAGAAGAACGGGCCGTTCGCCGATAGCGCAGCGATTGGTGGTGCCCCGAGGTCCCGGTTAAGTCTCAAGCCGGTTGCTCAGTTCCTGGGCGGTGCCGGTGCCGGTGCTAGCGCTGCTGCTGGTGCGGCTGCAAACTCACAATATGACAATGGATTCCCCAGCCGTCGCCAGAGCCGTGGTGCCAACATCGCCATGCGGGACCAGCCACCAATGAGTGCCCGCAGCCAGCCGGGCAGTGCGTGGGAGCGCCCCATAACGGGCAACGACCGCAACAACCCCTTTGGCGACGGTGCCCAGCGCCTCACCTCGGCGTTTTCGACTGCCCAACACGGCTTCCCCGGCGCAAATCCGCAGGGCCCAGATGCCAACGGTGTCTCGCCCGTCTCTCCTGGCGGTGCAGGTACTGCTTTCGCTGGCGGCGCTGCTGCCGGTGCCGCAGCTGGCATGCTGACGCGCAAGGCGTCCACGCGCAAGGATGGACCCAATGCCCTTGACCTGACGCTGCCTGCACCCAACAGCAACAACAGCAATCTAGGCCCCGTCCCCCCGAGCCCAGCAGCCACCGAATACAGTATGCACTCAATGGCAACCAGTACGGCCGCGGTTGTCTCCGCTGGTGGCGCTGCGATAGCAGCTGCTGGTGGTCCCCCTGTGTCTACGGTGCACCGTGTCCAGCTCGACTTCAAGCCCACACTTGACGACGAACTGGATCTGCGTGCCGGTCAACTCGTTCGCCTACTGCACGAGTACGACGACGGATGGGTAAGTCAATTCTATCAGCACTTCTACGAAGTGATAGTTTGTAGCCTGCACTCAGAAGATTTATGTACTAACTTTTGCTGCAGGCTCTCTGCATTCGCCTTGACCGTTCTAAGCAGGGTGTCGTCCCACGCACCTGTCTGTCTACGCGTCCTGTGAAGCCCCGTCCTCTCCAGGGCGGTGGCCGGGCAGGCCCGCCTGTCAACCCCAGCGGTCGCCCCATCACACCCCAGGGAGGTCCATTTGGTCCTGGACGCATGCCCGGCCCCATGGGCGGTCCAATGGGAGTCCCCGGCTCCATGGTTCCTGGTCAGGGTGGCCGGCCACAGTCGCCTGCCACGCCCCAAGGCGGCCCGCCGTCGCAGAAGATGATGAACGGCCAGATGCGCCCGCAGTCGCCCTATGGTGGCCCTCCCGGCGGCCCCCGTTCTGCGTCCCCTGCCACCATTGGTGCTCGGTCCGTGAGCCCCTTGTCCGGCAGCATCGGCCGCCCTCAGTCGCCTGCCGAGCTCTCTGGTGCCTCGAGCGGTACCAGTGGTAGCCAGCCACAGAGCCCTGCCAACACGGGGCCCCACAATATTACGCCGCCAGGGCCGAGCCCGGTCAACAAGCCAGTGCGCCCGACCAACTCGATTGGTCGCAAGCCTGTCCCTGGCCAAGCCTTGTAAACGGCTGCGCGTCCCCTTGTGTTTTCTTTTCTTATGTAACCAGGGGCTCAGGCAGCTCTTACTTTCCATGTTTGGCGCCTTACAACATACGGGAGCGTTCTTATTTTCGGTGGCGTTTTCACTGGCGGGGTTTGGTGGCAATGGGATGAATTTGGTATAAAAGACAAAGCTACTGCCTCAGTGGAGAGCGCGTTTAGTTTTTTGTATGTCTCCTGTTGCCCTTCGGTTCATTTCTCCCATTGTGGTCTTTGGTTGAACTCTTTTACTTTTTTTGGTTCACGTGGGTGATGTTTTACTTCTTATTCTTGACGCGTTGGTGCGGTCTTGAAGGGCGAAGGATGTGTTCGTAACACCCTTTTTTAACTTTTAACTTCTATTTATACCATTCGTATTATGCTTGGTATCCATTTTTACTTCTTTTGTATCTCATTACTTTCTCCTCAAACATATTCACTTCTTTTTTACACTTGAAAGCCCAATTTTGTTTCCGTGTTCTTGTTTTATAGCCCTGTATCTTTTATGGGCCTTATACCACCGATTTATATTTATTGCATTGGTCATTCTTGCTCGTGCTTTGCAACTTATTTAGCGGTGTTTGTAGGTTTTGTACAACTTAGTAGTCTTATGATTAGGATTTTTCATTAAACGCATCAATGCTTTGTCGTCTTTTCCATTGCAACATGTTTTGACTTTCGACTGCTTCGTCCAGCGCTGATCTTTTCTTCAATTCTTGTATTTTTTTTTTTTTTTTTTTTTTAACGTCTTATTACAAAATATATGCAGTGCGTGCATTTATGGGTTTTCTTCCTTAATTTTTTCCCCATCTGTTTTTGATATTTCTTTTAGGAGTTTGAATATTTACAGTCTTTATTGCCCATTCTTCCTTGATAATTATAATTAATGCTCTTCTAAATATTTATAATTCAATTTGAATTTTATTGTATGTCATCGACCAGTTTTATTTGAATTAAATTTTCACCGCATCCGCGCTTAGAATATCTTCTTAATTCGACCCTTAAAAGCACATCAAGTAAAAGGAGAGTAAGTTCGTAGAAAGAGTTCATGTTCCCATTAAAAGTATTATGATATAATTGTCATGAAAAAAGAGTAAATATAATGAAAACTCAGAAGAGACGCCACTTTTTTCAGCTTTTTGTTGCGCGTACCATGCACTCGCTTATCATGTATTTCGGAAAATCTGGCCCAAAAATAATAATTGAAAATAACGTGAAGAAAATGGTAAGGAATGGGAGATCAACATTATTAATTTAAACTGGTGGCTCCGTCACGGTCCAGCGCCGCTTGGAGGTTGTCATCTCGTGTGGCAGCTCGTCACTGTTGAGTGAAACAACACGGGGATGAATCCACAGACTGGGACTCGAAGGACTGGCCGCCCTGGCGGTGGTCGAGGTGTTAGGAGGCGTGAATGTATGGGCCGAGACCAGCTCGGCTCCGTAGTCGGTTGACGGTGCGGACGTCGGGCCCCTGGTGTCGAGACGTGGTAGAGCGGAAGACATGCCCTTGTAACCAATTTTAAGGCTATCGCCAGTGCGTTCGCTGTGGTCGTCATGGTCACCGTCGGCCGAGTGGGCGATAGATAGGGATGAAGGATATATGGGGTCAGAAGTGCCGCGGATTGACGGTGCCTTCTTTTTCTTCTCCTCCGGCTGTGGCGGGGATTTTGGGCTCTCTGGGCCGAAGCTGAGCAGAATTTCCATGTCGTCATCGTCCTTGGAGTCTCCCTCATCGGTGAGCGAAAAGTCAAAGTTGTCCTCATCAGGGTCCTTGGCGGAGCTGACGGGTGACCAAAGACCAACTGAGTCGGGTCGTGAATGGCTCATACGACTAGTAGTCGTTATGGTAGGCGGCGAGAATGTCAGAACACCACTGCCAATCGTGATCCCACTCGAACCTCGGCCATTGGTACTGCCCGATCGGACTGCACTCCCGCCCGGATTTTTGATAAGAGGTGGCTGAGACGAAGCGCCAGACGGCCGCCGTGTTACTAAGTCGGCGCCTCCATGAAAATAGCCTGCCGATGAGCTCCTGTGGCCAACGACCCCGCTTTCAAAGAGGTTGAAATTTCCCGGCGTGCCAGAAAGTGAGTTTGAATGACGACCGCGCGTACCGCCAATCACGGAAGCCATGCTACCGCGTGGTGTTGTCGGTGTAGTGGGTACGGACCGAAGGTGGTCCGAGTTGGCTAGCAGTTTCATCTCAAAGTACTTATTGAGTGGGACAACGCCATCCGGATGCCCGCGGTGGATGGCTCCTGACCATTTGGAGTTGTGCGTGTGCGAGTGTTCGTCTTCGGAAAGGGAGGTCAAAGAATCCATGCCATGTCGCCGGACCGCAACAGACAGCGAGGCCAAACCGACGTCCATGAGGACTGGTTGCTGTGTGATTGCGCCAATGAGCGCATTGCAGCCTGCGCCATGTGACACTAGAACCACAACAGTTTCTTCGATGCAGTCGTCGTCCACAATATCGCTGTCACTGTCATTGTCGTCAATGGCACAGTCCGCGTCTTCACTGCAGCTCCCGCTGGACTCGAGTTTGGAAGAGCCAGCTCTAAATTGAACCGCGTTCGTGACCATCTTGGCCGGCGCATCGGTTATCGAGTACCAGTCAACCAGTTTTTGTAGGCCCTTCCGGAAGCGACGGTGCATGGCTGCCCACTCTTCACCGAACTCGCCACCATCTCCCCAGTCATAAGGCGCCCGCATCGAATCCCACTGGTAGTCGAAGTCCACGCAAGCGTCCCGCGCATGTGCAACATAGCCCGATGGTGTAGGCGCACGCGATGACATGGCAAACTGAGGTACGGGCGCCACATATCCGACAACATTGGGGCGATGCATACCGGAATGACGAGACGCGTCCCAGCGCGGGCTCTGGATGTCGCCGTTGCTGCTCATAGGACGACCGTCTGCACTGGTATTGTTAAAGAGTCCAATTGGTGGCTCGACTGGCGGGATGTGCTGCGAACCGGATCTCGGAAGCTCTCCCCCCTCTGATGGACGTGACGTCCATGAGTTGGATCGGGTTGCACCCCAGAGATAGCTGGCCGAGTGGGAGTGTGCATGTGTTGCTTGGTGATTCGTCGTATGAGAAAAGCTCGAGTAGTCCTCCCTCCGCAAGAGTTCAGCCTTCGCACTGGCAACCATCAAGACTGAACTGGGTGGGGGCGTGATAAGCTCGAAGTAGCCTGGCGACAACCATTCACCTAGGAAGGCGTCGAGTCGCATGACGGATTTATTGAGTCTTGGTGTGATAGTCTTCGGTGTCGGGTCAAAACTCGGGTTGCTGGTGGGTGCTGAAGTCTGGCCATTCTGCATGGGCGTCCATATGCGCAAAGGGGGCAAAGGTTCAAAGCTTCGGGGATGTTCGAGGGGAAGCGAATCCGAAGCGATTCCAGAGCTGATGGCGATAGACGTTTGTATGCATCGGAGAAATGGCGAGCTGTGGATGACAATCTTGTACCGCCGCTTCTTGGGCACCGGCTTTCCGTCTGCAGATGGCGCGGACTCGGGAGGCGTACTCTCGCGCAGGATGTCGGCAATGCGCTGGCCAATGGCACGAGACTGCGACCAGCCGCCGTATGTCAATGGGGGGTCGTACGGCGTAGGCGATGAAAGGTGCCACAACTTGTCAGCAGCATCGAGGCGGTTTCCATGTCTGCGAGGGACGTGTTAGCGAGCGGCCGCATAAGCAGGAGGTGCCAGGCACGGCACTGTGGCCGTCAAAGCATACGAACCTGACTATAAATATATAAGCTGGGGGACGCCCCATGGCGAGATTGCTGGCGGAGGAGCTGCCAGCAGAAAGGTGGTAAATCGGGGGTTGTTTGGGTGTAGCGGATCTTGTGGGATAAACGGAGAAGTTCTGTATCGTACTTTAGGGGTTGTATTAGCCCCGAGCTATCGAAAGGCAGATGGTCAGTATTTTGAAGGAGAAATAGGGGTCGTATAAGACAGCGACTGCGGGACTGTAACGTGACGAGACGATCCGCAGGCAGAGGCAAGTAAACTACACCGGCCTGCTGATGGAATGCCAGCACTGAGAATGGCGTGGTAGTTGGGCGAGCTGTGAATAGACGAGGGGCAAAATGGTATTGTGATAGCAACAACGGTCCCGAAAAAACCGAGAGGCCAGCATGACTTGCTCTTGCGATCACAACAATTCACCCATACCTTCTTAGTAAGACATCAGGTTCTGGCGCCACTGTCGCACCAGACAATGCGCTGTTACTTTGTCGACAACGCAATATGCGAGGCAGAAGAAACAGCCGGTCGGGGTGGTGAAGCAAGCAGTCGAAGTTAAGGAATAGAGCGAATAGTGAGAAGTGTGAGAAGTCGAAATTTTGAGGAGAAATATCACGAAAAGTTCCAGAAGGAACGAACTGGCGCTTGCCTTCTTTACCGTCAGTAGACAAAGAAAGAGCGATCGGCGCACCCGAAGTGGGTGAAACAGGTGGAAGGCGGTGGCTTCGCTGCCCGGCGGCCGTCAAGTTGGAGATGGCGAGGATATGGAGCGTCGTAGACGTGGGGTGAGATGTGCCTGAAAGCTGGGGAGCTTTTTCGCAGAATTGAAAAAGTGCGGCACACACAGTGGCGAGAGGGTGATGACGATTGCAGGCAATTTCATTGTTCGTCACATGCGGCAATCATAGGCTTGCGAGAGCGCAGGCGCAAATGCACGGCGGCAGGAACAAAGCGATGGTAGGCAGGAAGACAGGCTACAGGGTCTAACCAAATGCACCTTGCCTGGGTAGCGGCGGCTGAACGGTCTGACAGGCTGCTGGTTGTACTGGCGTGACCTTTTTTTTTGTCCCACTTCTCCTCTTTGAAGCCTGGACTGGAGAGCTGTAGTTTTCTTTCATCACCTTCTATTCCTGCCCCCAGAGGTTTAAAATCCCGACCTCTTGCCGACTTGTCATGAATGTGACAGCATCATAGGCAGGCGCAATCCACGTCGTATTTACCTAGAAACCCCGCAGTTGTCTTGCCATTCACGGGTAAGCTTCGTTGTTTGTCGCGACGTTTACTCCGTAACTCGGGAGGAATTTGCGGTGTTGCAAGATGGCGGATTTTAGCTGCATTCTGCTGGATGACAGGCTCAGCCGGCCGCGCTTTTGGAGGCTTTTGGCAAGGCTTGAGAACCTGAAAATGAGATGTGTCGTTCCTTCCCCATTCACTCCCTGCAGAGCCAAGGCCGCAACGGTGCAGCTACAACGTACAAGCCGCTAGAACAATCGCAACTGCCAGATTATGCGCAGCAAGTTGTTATTGTAGAAATTCCACTTTTAATGCCCACCACTGGGAAGTCGCGCTCGAGCCACGCGAGTGGGGATCTGGACTTGTCGCGTCTAGTATTTGGATTATGTAAGGGTACATTGCCAATGTACCTTTAACCCCTGGACGCATCAATGCCAGCTGGTGTCTTGGTGTGTCATGCTTTGAAATCCAGAAGGTACGGTCACCAACACTGTCAGCAAAGGGGGTTCTTCACATCCAAGACGCGATACTTCCTATCCCCTTCACGATTAAATCTGCATCATCGACCATTCTATAACGTGTCCGATTGACAATCTTGTCCATACATTTTCATTCTGTTGCTAGCGACTGCTCCAACTGCAATGAGGCTCTCACTGTGGCTGTCGGCCGTGCCGGCACTGCTGGCCGCCTTTGCAGCATCGCCTGTCGCTGCCGAGCACACCAGCAACTGGGCGGTGCTCGTGTGCACGTCCCGCTTCTGGTTCAACTACCGACACCTCGCCAATGTGCTCTCCGTCTACCGAACTGTCAAGCGGCTGGGCATTCCCGACTCGCAGATCATCCTCATGCTGCCCGACGACATGGCTTGCAACCCGCGCAACGCTTTCCCAGGCACCGTCTACTCCAATGCCGACCGCGCCGTCGACCTGTATGGCGACAACATCGAGGTCGACTACCGCGGCTACGAGGTCACGGTCCAGAACTTCATCCGCCTGCTGACCGACCGAGTTGGCGACGAGATGCCCCGCAGCAAGCGGCTGCTGACCGACGACCGCAGCAACGTGCTTGTGTACATGACAGGCCATGGCGGCAACGAGTTTCTCAAGTTCCAGGACGCCGAAGAGATTGGCGCGCTCGACCTGGCCGACGCCTTTGAGCAGATGTGGGAGAAAAAGCGCTACCACGAGATCCTCTTCATGATCGACACGTGCCAGGCGAACACCATGTACAGCCGTCTGTACTCGCCCAACATTATCGCCACCGGCTCCTCGGAGCTCGACCAGTCCTCCTACTCCCACCACGCCGACAACGACGTCGGCGTCGCCGTAATCGATCGGTATACGTACTACAACCTCGAGTTCCTCGAGAACGAGGTGCGCGATCTCGGCAGCAAGAAGACCGTCGGCGACCTGTTCGACTCGTACGACTACGAGAAGATCCACTCGCACGCCGGTGTACGCTATGACCTGTTCCGCGGCGGCGCTCCCGAAGCGCGCAGCCGGCTGGTCACTGACTTCTTCGGAAATGTCCAGAACGTCGAGGTGGATGGCGGTGTTGCAGGCAGCGGAAGCAACGGCAGAAACTCGACACTCGATGAGGACCTCCTGGCCCTGAGCAAGACGATCGCCGAGCTCCAGAAGCGGGCCAAGGAAGAAGAGGAGGAGAGCGAGGCCAAGGCAGCAGCAGCCAAGGCCGCACAAGGAAACGCATCGTCTGACAAGCAGCAGACCGTTGGCCGTGGTCCTGTTGTCAACCACAAGATCCAGTCGGCGAAACCACTCACCGATGACAACTGGTGGACCAAGAAGGTTGTCGGCGCGACGACATTGGCAGGGTGTGCGCTGCTCTGGGGCCTAAGCTCGTTCCTGGAGGCGTGATGTCTTTCTTGGTTTCTTTTGTAACTGTATTACCTTCAACTTTGTTTTATTTAAACTTGTATAGAGCCCCGTTTTCTTGAAGCGTTTCCTTTTTTCATTTACATTATATTTAACGATGATTCGTTAAACTGGCTCAGATGCAACTCGATATTACCGATTATATGAATGTATGGTAAAGAGTAACTCTCAAATGCTTGTTGATGACGTGGAACTGAACGCCCATGTAATTTGATTTAATCCATTTCGTGAGAAAGTGCGCTATATAAGTCGCTTCCTACTTTTCTCGTGACTTTCGTGTGTCTAGAATTGTGGGAAGGTGCAAACGAGGTTGATCAACTACATCGGAGCTTGTTTGTTTGGTGCAGACATTGACAGTCTCGCCAAAACAAAACAAGCCCCACTTTAATCCGTTTCCATCTTCAAAACTTACATCGCGTTGTTCAACAAAATACAAGCTACCGCACTGGGGATCATTAACGGACTGATTTTTGAGAACTGGGTTCGAAATAATCGTCATAGTCATAGTCGAGATGAGTGAAGCTATTGAAGACCTCGCCGGTCCCTCGACAAGGGTAAGAACACAAGACCTTTCCAGTTGAGGACCTTCGCTTTGCTTGTTCTTCGGCTAACGCACCTGTTCCTCCACCACCAGCACCGCCCTCGCCCTTTGGATCTGGTGCCAATCGACCTAGATGCAGTTCCGTTCGCTTCGAACGCGCTAGAATGGTCAGCGGATGGTGTGCTCGCAGCTGCTACCACTGATTCGGTGCACATTTTAACGCCACAGTTCATGACTGCGAGCGGCGGCCCTATGCCGATATATGATGGTTTAGCCAACGAAGGCAACAGTGACCAGGATGACGACACGCAAGACCAGGGTGATAACCGGTTTGCAACGGAGACGGGGGCGCGGAAGCAGTTTGGCGGTTCCGGCCGGCGCATCTTGGTCGGATATCCGCGTCTCGACCACACCATCAACCAGCCGCTGTATCAAGAATGGGCGGCACATCATCCCGGCGATGACCAAGGCCAATGGCAGGCAGATGCCCCGAAGATTAGTGCCGGCTCTGGTTCCATCAGTGGCAGTGGCAGCACGATGAATTCTGTGGTCAGCATTGCGTGGTCTCCGAGTGGTGTTGGCTACAACGAACGCTGCGTGCTGGGCGTACTGACTGCGTCGGGAATGCTGATCATATACGGCGACCCCCTCGATGGCGGAGAAAGGGACGACGCCTCGACGAGCAGCAGCGGGCAGAGAGTGTCGGGAAACCGCAACAGCTACGACACGTCCCGGTGGGAGGTGCTGTGGGCGGTGGGCGAACGCACGGCAGTTCCAGGCCAGAAAAAACCTGGAGAGTGCATCACGTCCTTTGCTTGGACCAATGCCTGCGACGCAATTGTGGAAAAGACACCGACGCTCGCGGCTGCATATCACCGAGCAGAGACGAAAGCACTCCTGGTGTACCAGACGGACAGGAGAGACATTGTTGTGCTGGATGTCAGCCATTCCCGCTACATTGATGGCAGGGTGACATGGAAAGTCGCCGAGATGGAGCGCATAAAAGCAGCCGCGGGGGCGCACTTGACAGGGCAGTGGACGAGACCAGGCGCGCCTTCGGTGACAGACTTCAGCTTTGTTCCACATTCTACACCATTCGGTCTCCGCTGCAGTCCGTGGATGGTTGAAAAGGTACCGCTGGGGCCTGATCTCCAGCCCGAGAGTCTCCTGACCTGCATCATCGGGTACACTGCATTGCACTATGTCGGGTTCCGGCGACTGTCGCTTGTGTTGCGCCCAGACGTGTCCAGTGGGAGACGGACTATTTTCATTGACACCAAGGATATCTCGGGTTTCTGCGCCTTTATGGGCGCAAATGCCGTCCTCCGGTTCGAAGATTGCCTCTGGCGCGTGGACGATGACTTGCAAACGGGCGTTCCTAAGAAGAGGTCCCAGTGCAGAGGCGTCGTCGCAACGCCCATGACTCTCAAGGCGTTCGAGTTCGAGTTTACAGCATATGATCCGAACCTCGTAGCGCAGGCAACTGGTGCACCAGACGCGCATATTGTTTTCACAGAAGGCATATGTGCAGCAACTGAACCCAGCCAAGCAGAGTGGCACACAAACCCCATCAGCGGTTAGTTTTGCCGACACAATTTACTCCTCGATTATCTCCTTGTTTTACTAATACTGCCATCTACATTGACTACTAGGCCTCATTGTGCACCCCCCAGATCCGACAAACCACGGGAGCATGCCTATATACAGCTATGTGCGCAAAGATGCAACTTTTACAACGTACGAATGGTATGGCACAAAGCTTTCCGAACACCACGAACCTCCCGAATGGTTCGAGATCATACAGAAGAAAAGCAAAGGTCTCCAGCACGAAAGTGTCGCCGACTCGGAGCAAGATACGATGCCCCAAAATTCGGAGATGGGTGCTCAAAGTTCACGGAATCGGTACCAGGTGGGCATTTGGGGGTTGGCGCAGGCACCCGGCGGCCTGCCAGGGGCGAAAGGCACTACTGCTGTCCTGATCACGGAACATTTGATCGGCAGCAGCCGTACTGGCAGAAGCCGAGGCGATAGTCATATCCTCTTTGGGGCGCAGAAGAAACAGTCACACCAGGGCTCGTCAGTCACAGAACCCATCGATACGTTTGTCGACAGATGCGACCGTCCTGCTACGACCACCGAGGCTACCATGTGGACCTACATGTACGGAGGCGGACCAGAGGTAGTGCCGAGAGCATCATTTGCTACACGGGAGGGCGTTGAATTGAACCAGACATGCAGCATTTGCGACGCGGCGATTAACGAACGGAATGAAACGTCGACATGCGCAAATGGCCACTCTTTTGACAGGTGCACGAGCACGGGGCTGGCCATCCAGAAGCCTAATGTGTCGAGGGTGTGCGGTGTATGCGGACGCAAGACCTTGGTCCCAAGTGCGCTGGAAGAGATTTTGGAACTCTCGGGATCTGACCAGACAAACAAGGAAGCATTGGAAACATCGTTACAGGATACGGTATGTGGCTTCTGCGGAGGCAAATTTTTCGGAAGATGAAATAACGGGCTGGAGTAGGCGGGTTTGGTATTTTCTTTTTTCTTTTCTGTTTGTTCAGGTTCATATTTTCTGTTATCATGGGAGAGTTGGGATGTATCCTATTACTTGCTTCTCTTTCCTCTACTGGCTGAACTGTAATTCATAATGACATAGGTAACGTTCTCTTATAAATGTAGTGTATATCTCGTACAATGGATGCTTTCTTCCCAATATAAACTCTAGAGAAGATAGTAAGAACAGAGACAACCGAACCAAAATGAACCATATAAAGTACACCCAAATGAGACCTCTAAATAAACTAGCAAACAAATGGGAAAATGAACATATGGGAATAACGTACGCGCTTTTGCCGTCAGTCTTTGACTTTTACAACCACCGTCGTCTTGCACTTAGTTGAACAACTTGTTCATGGCCTGGTGGGCCAGCTCGACACCGAGGAAGGTGGCGGCGTTGGCGGGCACGGCACGCGCCAGCGCAGGGGCGAGACCGGGGAAGAAGGCCTTGAAGCCGCCCTTGCCGTACAACTCGCGCACGACGGAGCCAATGGTGAGGCCAGGCACCGAGCTCGTCTGCAGACGGCTCTTGACGGTGTCGACGGGGAAGACGGGGATCCACATGGCCACACCGGCACCGGCACCGGCCACGGTAATGGCCGTCAGACTCAGCTGGCCGTTGGCCTTGCCGGTAACAGGGTCCTTGGGCGTCAGGGACTGCTTGATGTACTCGTAGGCGGCAAAGTAGGCAGCAGAGCCGGGGCCGTCGCGGGCGAGGGTGGCGACGCTGCCGCGGAAGACGGAGCGAACACCGCCCTCCTTGTAAAGGTGGCGGACGACGTCAATGGCGCCGTTGTACTGGGGCTTCTCGCCGGGCTTGAGGACCTTCTGGCCCTGGACCTGCAGGATGACCTTGACGCGCTCAAAGGGGGCGGTGATGGCGGTCATGGGCACGGCGGACAGGAAACCAGCGGTGGAAATCTGGCCAATGGTGAGGGAGCCGTCGGGATTGGCGGGGGTGAAGCTGCGGACGATCTGCTTGCCGACATCGTAACCCCAGAAGGAGACGGCGACTGAGAGAGTTAGCCAACATCTCTGGTCTCTGGACAGAGCACAAACGAAGTGAGCGCAGCGAGGAGAAACCCCAAAGAGGACAAAAACTTACACATGGGAGTGACACCAACGAGCGGTGCCGTGACACCAGCGTACATGCCGCGACGCAGACCATCCTTGGCAACGGTCTTGCGCACGACGTCAATGGCAGACGAGTACACGCCCTTCTCGGCGGTCTGCAGGCGCACCTTGACCAGGTCAAAGGGGTGGCCGACCAGGACGGCGCAGATGCCACCGAAACCACCAGCCGCAAAGGAGCGCGCCTGGGCGGCGAGGCTCGATGTGGCCGCCTCGGGTGACGGCAGGCTGACGGCGTCGTCGGCCTTCTTGGCCAGGTCAATGGCCTCCGCCTTGAGCTCCTTGTACTCGGCCTTGGCGGCCTCCGCGGCCTCTGCGATCTTGGATGCTGCGGCGCCGTGGGTCAGCTCCGACACCTCGGCCTCGACCTTCTTGGCCAGACCAATGGCATCTGCCTTGAGCCCCTTGTACTCGGCCTGTGCGGACTCGGTGACCTCGGCGATCTTGTTTGCTGCTGCGCCGTGCGACAGATCGGACATCTCCGCCTCCACCTTCTTGATCTCGGCCTTGGCCGTCTCAGCAAGCTGGGAGATTGTCGATGTCTGGGGAGCGGGTGCGGGCGTGGGTGGTGCGGGCGCTGCCGGTGGCTCAGCGGGCGCGACCGGGACAGGCGCTGGTGCGTCGTTGTCGGATTTGGACATGGTGGCTGGGTGGCGTAGAGAAGGAGGAGAAGAAAGCGGAAAGGAGGAGAAGGAAGAAGCGCTTTAAACGACGTTTGTCGATTTGTGCCTCAATTGACCTGTGTCGTCTAGTTGGGAAGGAAAGAAGTCAGAAAAATGTAAAGTTCGGGTTAGGAAGCGGCGACGGAGCACAGGTCTGGCACTTTCACGTGTCGGAAGAGCAAGGCAAAAATTAGACTAGTGAAAGGTGCGATTGGCAGCCCTTCTTGTGGGTGCTAAGACACGCCTAAAGATGGGTAGACCAGGGGCAAATTGAAAATATACGGAGGAATCCGTACAAGGCAAGCGACCAAGGAAGCAAGAACGACTGGAGCATGCGCTGCCGAAACGACAAACAACGATAAAAAGACGTCAGGGCTTAGCCTCAGCGGAAAGGGAAGGAGCAATTGCCAAGCTCACGGAAAGATACTGAGGGAGTGGAGCAAGAACTGAGCACAAACAAGCAATGCAACAAGCAATGCAACAAGCAATACGTTTGGCACAGCAGTGAATGCGTATTGAGTAAACGCACCGATTTGTCAATGCCACCAAAGATATGGCTTTACGAGTTCTCGTCGTCTTGATCGCCGTGGTATTGCGTTGTTTCTATTCGCTCCGCTGGTCCGTTGCCGTTCATGTGCCGCGTGCGATGGGGAAGGAAGTAACGTGGGAGGGCGCAGTTGACGGAAAGAGCTGTCGTCTGATGTCGAAAACGTATCGGGGAGGAAGGAGCAAATCGTACGAGAAAGATAACAATAAATAGATCTGCAAAACAGAGCGAGCTTCTTATGCGAGTTTCGCAAACGGGGTACTGGTTTGCATGCGTATTTTGGCTTCGACATTCGTTCACTTTTCCGTTTCCCCAAGATGGCATTTTTACTCTGTGTAGTAATAATACGCTGTAAATGCGACCCAATAAGCGGCCGCTTTTTATTGTGCCTCGGTCGTTCGGCATATTTCGCTCCCCAGAAAAAAGTGCAAGTAGCGTGCCCAAACCAGCCACTGCCCCTCTACGCCCGCCAAAACCATCCACAGACTCCTTCCCCAAACCCCACGTAACCCGCTTCGTCCGCCACCGGCTCGGCCTCCAAATTTTTGCGGGGCATTTTCCCACTGCGACAAAAACCTATGCGACAAGTGAACAGCCATCGGGGCTCTTCCACCGAGTCTGGTTTCTGGATCCCGCACGATCGGGCGGCGCTATTTCCATTCTGTGTCGTCGGGTTGCTGACGAAAAATAAGTAAATCAATTTGAAAAATTAGTAGGCACACGGCCGCCGAAAACTACAGGATGAGACTCATGGCTTTGCCTCGGCAGAGTGGATCCGGGCCACCAGAGCCACGACTTACAGAAGCTCTACTGCAAATTGCCGCACATTCAATTAACAACTCCGGTGAAGCAAGACAAAGACACACTGCACAGTTTCGCACCAATGGCCTACCAAACCAAGGCCATAGCGCATAAAGGTTGCGGGTATATGGGGAAATAGCCTTTGGCTAAAATGCAGGTACAGAAGCACGATAAAAGCTGGGCAACGCAAGCCGTTTAAACACGCTACATTTGAGTACAGATCGGATCGAGTACAAGTACGACCGACGTCCTCGATGTGACGAAAAAAGTCAAATCCCAGCAAAATCAGCAAGCAAGACGCCTTATACATGCAAATCCCATGACACAAAAATTGAATGCCCGACGAATCGTTTCCGCTCTCAGAAGTTGACGCTGGGCTTGGCCGCGTGGCCCAAGGCAATCGATGCCCGGTTCGAGCCGCACCAGCAATTGCCGTCTCCGTCACGCTCAACCTGCACCACGACGTCGATGCCCTTCTCCAGCATATAGCTGCGCACGCGGTCACGCACGTCCTCCATGTCGGCGCCACGCACCGCCACAACATGCATAACACCGAGCAGCTTGTCCTCTGTTCCCGAGCGGTCGTCAATCCAGAACTTGGGCGCCGAGTAGCTGGCGACGCCACGCAAACCCGGCACGCCCGCCAGTGTTTCTCGGAGTGTGTACTCAACAGCATCCGGAATGGTCAGCAGCAGGCGGCGGGCCGACGACGTGACGAGCGGCACGGCTGAGCCGAGAATAAGAACGGCAATGAGGAACGAGGCCAAGGGATCCCAGCCAGACCAAGACCAGAAATGTGTCAAGACTGTGGACACAATCACGGCAGCACTGCCGAGTGTATCTGCCAGGACATGAAGGTAAATTCCGTACATGTTCTCGTTGTCGTGGCTGTGACCATGACCATGACCATGACTGTGATTGTGGTCGTGGCCGTGGCCGTGGCCGTGGGAAGCGCCATGTGAGTGACCGTGACTGTGGCCATGGCTATGGCCGTGGTTGTGACCGGCATGGTCGTGGGAGCTGTCGGTTTTTTTAGACAGGCTCGAAAAGTCGTCTGCGTGCTCGCCGTGGCTGTGGCCATGGCCGTGTCCGTGGTGGTGGTGGTGTCCAAAGGAGAACATGCCGACAAGGTTCACCAGAAGACCCAGCGTGCTGACGACGAAAAGCTCCCACAGACGCGTCGTCTCCCGCCCGCCCATAAGCCTTTCGACGGCCTCGACCATGATTTCGACGCTGATCAGTCTGGAAGGGAAGGTCTGTTAGCATCTGATTTGGCTGCAATATAGGCTCGACCGTTCCGAGCGCCGACTTACATCAAGAAGATGCCATTGGCGAACCCACTCAGGGTCTCAATCTTGCCAAAGCCATAAGGAAACCGCTCGCTCGGTGGCCACTTGCTAGCCACTGCCGCAAACAGGCCCACGGCCAGTGCCACGCAGTCAAAGAACATGTGGATGCTGTCGCTCAAGAGGCCAAGGGAGTCGGTCACGTAGCCGTAGAATGCTTGAACCGTCATGAACGCAAAATTCAACCTGTACGAACAAACACGCGTTAGTGAGAAGCTGGGCGACAATGCCGCTGGATGTGGTATGGGGCGGAACGAACGTCATAAAGTAAAAGATTCGCCGCGAATCCTTCTCTTTCATAACAGCATGCACCACCGGGTAGCGCGCCGTGTACTGCATGGTAAACTCGGTGAACCGCGAGAGCGAGCCTGGCGCCGCGACCTGGTCAAAGGTAACGGACGACGTCTCGGGCGCCGCATAAGAGGGCTTTTCAAACGTGGGCCGAGATGATGTGTATGGCCCGGCACCGGCCGGTAGAGATTCGGACGCATGGCTGTGAGAATGGGTATGGTCGTGGTCATGGTCGTGGTCATGGCCGTGGGCATGATATTGGGACTCGGAGTGGCCGTGGGAGTTTGACACGGTCTGCATCTGGTTCTGGTCGAAACTGAAGCTGTGTCCATCGCCGCCGCGCAAGGAGACACCCGAGCTGTGGCTGATCCTCCGATGCGACCGCGAGTAGCTGCCGCCCAGGTGGCTCACCGCTGCCGAGGGAGGTGAGCGTCCAAGGGTCAACGGCGAAGGCGAGTGCGTCTGCGACGAATGGGAGTGGGAGTGGGCGTGCGAGTGGCCATGGCTACGGGAATGCCCGTGGGAGTGGGAATTGGCATGCTGCATGAAGCCGGTCAGGTGGCTCTTGGGCGGGGATATTGATGCCCTTGGTAGCGCGTATGAGGACTCCATGGCGCGGAGGGAGGTAGGGAGAGGGAGAAGTGGGGAGAGTGCAAGGAGAACAAGTCTTATTGCACTCGTCCAGAGGGATGTCGTCGTTTCGAGACCAATTCGATGTCTCCAATGGAGGCCCAAAACCACCAATGAAATGAAGAAAGTAGACACAGCGTCGCGGAGTACGCTGGTTTATTTCGTTGACTTTCCGACGGGGCCACAGAGGTATGGGGAAAGGCGGAGAGATCGGAGGCGGTGGGAGACTGGGAGATTAGGGAGTGACGAGGCGGAACGGAAGGAGATTCGCAGTCGATCGGCAACAAAAGACGACAAGTTCGGATGGGAGGCGATATTGGCGGTAAAGGCAAAGGTCGGCGATACGTCCAACGACTCAGATGAAAAGGAGCAATAATAGATAATGCTAAAGAGGGAATGGCTGAGTACGGACGAAGTAAAAAGTGACACAAACAAAGAAAGAACAACTCTAGCTCGGCCTTTCCCCGTCTCCTCGCGCGCTCCTGACCTCTAGTTGCGCCCCTGTTCAAAGTGGATCCGGTCTTGCCTTCTTTGGCTTCTTGGGGCGGACTTGGCGCCTGTGATGCCGCAGCGACCTGAGATACAGCTATCATATCAATGGGCTGTAGTGACGTGCGTTCAACGCCTTTGATTGGTCTGGTGCTTTGCAGCAGCGGTCAGGGGAAGATCCTGGTGTAGAGAGTACCAACGGGCCCAGGCCGTCGCGGGCTTCACACCCTCTTGCTCCGAAATATAGGGCAGTTTCCTTCCTGGGTGTCATCCAGCCGCGCCTTAATTGCATTCCAATCGGGTCCATATTAGGGCCATACAGCCTGCCGTAGCGCCTTAATAACAACCACAAAACGTCATCTCCGTTTTGAGCCACCTGTTCGCATAGCTCCAACGACGGTGTCTCAGGAACACGGCCGATCTCCCACGCCAACATAAGCAAGCTCAACGACACAGGGCCGTCCCGGGAGTGACAGACTCATCAATCCATATCGCGTGCTTCATTTTTACAGGCAAGGTTTTCCAGTCTCACAACAAAGTCTGCTCTCGGAGTGTGAGCTTCTCCTAGAAAGCTGGTTCTATTTAAAATCAGAGGATCGAGCCAACGCGCTCCAACGCATCACAGTCGGCATGGCCCTCGGTTTCTCATTAATAGGCGCTGCCCTCCTGGTTCTCACTGCTGTGATGTTCCTGGCCTGGCCACGTCGGTACCGCGGACAGGCGCCCACTGTTCAGGTCCTTGTGTTGGGCGATGTTGGCCGCAGCCCGCGGATGCAATACCACGCGCTCAGCATTGCGCAGCGTGGACATGTACAGCTCATCGGATACTATGGTGCGTTGGGAGTGGATGCTGGAAGGCTGTTGTTTGATACTTGCTAACGTACGTAGAATCGGACCTCTTGGAGGAGCTCGACCAGCACCCGCGTCTGACCAAAGTGCAACTGGCTCCGGCACCAGTGTTTATTCGACGCTTGCCGTTTGTCATTGGTGGTCCGCTCAAGGTTGTCTGGCAGATCGTCAACTTGGTGATAACCCTCACGTATTTTACACGTCCAACCCGCTGGTTGCTCATCCAAAACCCTCCGTCCATCCCGACCCTAGCAGTCGCTGCTCTCGTCTGCTCCCTGCGAGGCACGAAGCTGCTCATCGACTGGCACAACTACGGCTGGAGCATCCTTGCCGGCACACGTGGAGCCAAACATCCTTTTGTTGGTGTGTCCAAGGCCTACGAGGTCACCTTTGGGCGCCTTGGTGACGCCCACCTGGCTGTGACGGCCGCCATGGCTGCACAGCTTCGCAAAGCGCCGTACAACCTCCCAGCCTCGGCACCCCTTGCTGTTCTACACGACCGTCCTGCCGAGCTGTTTCAGCCTGTCGAATCTTCCACGCCTTTCCCACCGGCCGCCCGAGGACAAGAGGTCGCACGCATTCTTGCGGGCGCAAGTGACGTTGTTGTGCGGCGGCTGCTTACAAACAAGGACGCCAAAGTGCTGGTCAGCAGCACGTCGTGGACACCCGACGAGGACTTTGAGCTGCTTCTTGACGCCCTGGTGCAGTACGTCCGGGACGTGCCCGGTGACTCGGCGAATGGTCGGCGGCCGCCCGTGCTGGCCGTCATCACAGGCAAAGGTCCCCAGAAGGCCATGTACGAGCGCAAGCTGGCGCAGCTTGCCGCCGACGGCCATCTCCCGCCAGACCAAATCGCTGTGCGCACGGCGTTCCTGCCGATGAAAGACTACGCCCGTCTTCTCGCGCTTGCTGATCTGGGTGTGTGCCTCCACATGTCCAGCTCGGGCGTGGATCTGCCAATGAAGGTTGTGGACATGTTTGGCGCCGGTCTTCCCGTTGCCGCATACTCGGACTACGAGAGCTTTGGCGAGCTGGTGCGCGACGGCGACAATGGGCGTGGGTTCACTACGTCGGGTGAGCTGGCGGACCTCCTTGGACGTCTGTTGGACCGCCGGGACCGGGCTGAACAACAGATGACCGAATTAGAGAACCTTCGGCAGGGCGCTCGGAAAGAGAGTGTTCTGCGGTGGCCTGAAGAGTGGAACCGTGTCGTGGTACCAATCTTGGAAGTGTCCGAAGCGGCTGCGTCTAAAAAGACCAAATAGGCAAACGAGAGGAGCAAGGTGTACTGAAAATAGAAAATAACGTTGAATTAGAGATACCATACGGCTATGAATTAGCAAAGCAATGAATACACAACGAATGACTGAAATAGGAATACAATAAATGCAGGTAGAAAGTATGCAATTTGACGCCTGAATCCAATACAAGGGAAAGCAATGCCACTCCAATGCTCCGATGCGCCCTCCTCTTTATGCAAGGTATAATGTGCTCCGCTCCAGGGTCAACAACGAGCACGTGTGAACCGTTGTGTGCCACCCCCTCCATCTATTCCTCCCCGAGACTTTGGCGGACACACTGCCGCACCCGCTTCCGAAAGTCCTTGTTCTTGCCGGCCACTTCGTCGCGCCACATCTGTGCTGCGTCCAGGTCTGCAGGGCTCTCGTCGTTGGGGCTGGCCAGCAAGCTTATCACGCTCAGCAAAATCGTCTCGGGCGTCTGCACGGGCGACCAACGCTCACTCGCCGCCTCGTAGCCGTACTTGTCTTCCTCGGGCGGGTGCAGAATCGAGATGCAGAGTTCGCCATTGGGGTACACGTTGGGGTGGAAGGGTATCGGATCCTGGAACTTGAGGACGGGCGGCAGCAACGGGTACTCGGGCGGGAAAGAGAGGATGGCGCGAAAGTTTCCGCCACCGTAGTATTTGACGTCGTCGCTGATCATGAGCATGACCATCCACTCAAAAATATTGTTGGCGTCGGTGAGGCCGCAGGAGATGCCCGGAATGTCCTTATCGGTCTGCATCTGCTTGAGCTGGCGCCGCAGCAGGTTCGCCGCACCGGAGGAAGCCATGGCGTGGGTGGGCGGTGAACACGAATGGTCGAAAAGGAGTGAATATTTCGCTGAATCAAGAGGAATCCGGGTTGCTTTCGTGGCTCGTAGCCAGCAACGTCAAAGACACGAAAAGGTTCAAGCAATGGCGGTTATGCGAAGCCGGCGGAAGTGGGGGTTGAGTGACAGTCGGGTGCTGAAGCTCTTAGGAGACGGTGCTAGTCGAAGAATATTGCGAGTTGGGTATTTGACTAATCGTCCGTGTATCGTATATGGTCGTACGAGGGATACCCTCAGGCAGCCACTGAGAGATTGCGTCAAGTTGTCTCGGTTTGAGGCTATCGAGAGATGGACAAGGGAGAGGGTCCGAGAAGGTGCGCGCCCCGCATAATATACCACAGCGAATGCAGTGGATTCGGAGGACAATCTCGACGGATCGCACCTTCCCTTATCGAGTGCTGGTGGGGCAAACCCCGACCTAGGCTAGGCCTCTGCAACAGTAACCACGATACAGTGTTCGCCACGTTAGCCGCCCATGCATATCTTACGTGGTTGTTTTGTCTATGAATTTCTTTTATTTGCTTGTGGACAGAATGGCCAGGGTATCGTGCTATATTCAGTAAAATAACAAAAGAATCAAAAGCCAACGCCAGTGAAAATGCCTAATAAAACGCCGCAACATAACGATGCCCCATGATATCCCCCATATTCCAAGTATCTTCCACAGCAAAACAGCCCCTTTCAGTTCTTCTTGGTTGATCCAAACCCAGTGATGCCCATCATCTTCATCATGTCTTCTTCGTCGTGCTCGCCCTCGATGCGGACGTCGTCGCCGTAGTCCATCCGGCTCGCTGCCAGAGCGGCCGCCTCGGCCTCTTTTGCCGCCTTCTTCTTTTCGGCAAGGTCGCGCTTCTTGATCCGCCGCCGCTCGCGTTCCGCGTCGTCTTCTTGCTGTCGTATGGCCAGGCGCTCTTTGAGGTTGACCGTCGCGTCCTTCTTCTCGGCCTCGAGGCGTGCCCACACGGCCTCGATGCGCTCCAGCACGTCGGCGGCCGACGCCCGCTTGACCTGCCCCGTTTGGCCGACGTTCCGCAAGTGGTACATGGAGTTCTCGTGCTCCGTCAGGGAGACGCTGTCTTTGGCCGTCCAGTCGCAGTATTTGCAGTAGAGCGGGCCGGCACGCCGGCCGGGGGCCACCATCTGCGTCGTGCCGACAAGCGCATTGAGGTCGGACATGGTCGTGCGCGCGGCCGTCAGCGTCTCGTTGCCCTCGAGGGGTTTGTAGTAGCGCTTGCCCGCGAGCCTGGCCTCGTACCGCGCCTTGCCCTCCTCGCGCTCCTTGGCTTCGCGCTCTTTGGCCTTGGCTGCATATTCGGCGACGTCGCGTGTCTTGCGGAACTCGGTGTCGCCGGCCGGCGTGCCGTAGGCGGAGCCCTGTTTTGACATTGTCGCAGCGCGTGTGTGTCGTCAAGTGGAGATGGAATTTTGGCTCAACTAAGAGAGAGGTTATGTCCTGAAATGCAGTGCGCGTCGTTGGTTGCTTCTGGAGTTCGATGCAAGTCGACGGTGACGATAATTGGGATGGAGAATGGGAGAATTGGCGGCAGAACAAAAGCACGCTACTTATGGCGGTTCCAGGCGCCTTTGCCAGCCAACTTTTTTTTTGGCTTATCGCGATAAGCAGAGGGGCACATGCGACTGAATCGCATCGAGGAGCATACATTTTCTTCCCACGAGCGTCACGAAAGACATTCACACACCCCAACATCAGCATGCTGTACCTCGTGGGTCTCGGTCTCTCTGACGAGACGGACATTACCGTCAAGGGTCTCGAGATTGTCAAGAAGGCCTCCCGGGTTTACCTCGAGGCCTACACAAGCATTCTTCTCGTCAACAAGGAGGTTCTGGTATGTTTAACGGTCCATGATGCAGACTGTCATTGACAGTAGAACTAAACTGGCTTCTTTGCGTAGGAGTCCTATTATGGCCGGCCCATCATTATTGCTGACCGCGAAATGGTCGAGAGCTCGAGCGACGACATTCTTGCCAATGCGCAGACTGAGGATGTAGCCTTCTGCGTCGTTGGTGATCCGTTCGGGTATGCCCCATATACTTTTTTATTCTATCATTTTTTACCGTTTTGATTTCCCTCGCTTCGTACCTCTGACGCCGGTTATCAAACAGTGCTACCACTCACACCGACCTCGTCCTTCGTGCCCGCGAACTAGGCGTCGCCGTCGCCTCCGTCCCCAACGCTTCCATCATGTCCGGCATTGGCGCCTGCGGCCTCCAGCTCTACAACTTTGGCCAGACCGTGTCCATGGTCTTCTTCACCGACGAGTGGCGTCCGGCCAGCTTCTACGACCGCATCAAGGAGAACCGCGACATTGGCCTGCACACGCTGGTGCTGCTCGACATCAAGGTCAAGGAACCCAACCTGGCGAGCCTGGCCCGCGGTCGCATTGTCTACGAGCCGCCGCGCTACATGACGGTCGGTACCTGTGCCAAGCAGATGCTCGAGATCGAGGCCGAGCGCAAGGAAGGGGTTTACGGCGAGGACAGCTTGGCCATTGGCGCGGCGCGCGTCGGCGGTCGCGAGCAGGTGTTTGTAGCTGGCACGCTCAAGGAGCTGTGCGAGGCGGACGATGCGCTGGGCCCGCCGCTGCACAGTCTGGTGCTGCTGGGCCGGAGGACGCACGAGCTGGAAAACGACTTTGTGCGGGAGTTTGCCGTGGACAAGGAGAAGTGGCAGCGCATTTGGGCGGCGGAATACCAGAACAAGCATTAGGCGACTGGAGAAGATTATGGGCTTATCTACAGGGCATTTGGGTGCATTAGGGAGCATTCTGGGTGCATTACAGGGGCCTCTAGTTTAGTCATTTTCGCCATTGGAACAACAAAAGTTTGCTGCAAAACATGCGGCTTATCGCGATATGAAAATTTAGGGCGATAAGAAAAAAAAGTTTACCGCCAAATGCTGCGATCTCCGATCCATCATCCTCATCCAGCCTTGCCTCCGGCAATCCATTCAGCACGGGTTTTCAATATTACATTTCGCACGACACCTACCTGCGCAACCAACAACATGGGCTCGCGTAACAAGATCGTGCGGCAATCCACATGGCTGCAGAACAAGGCGGCCAAAGGAAAGAAGTCTATTGCCGACCGGCGCGAACGGCGGCGCGAAGAGGAGAAGTACCCCGAACTCAAGGCCGAGCGGCTGGCCAAGAATAGGCCCAAGACCCTTGAAGACAAGCGCGAGTACCCGGTGTCCGAAGACTACTATGCACGCCGCAAGCGGAGGCGGGTAGTGGAGGAAAAACCTGCTGTGGAGGAGGAAGAGGACGACAACGATGACGAGGCCGATGAGGCAGCCGAAGCACAGGACGAGGACGACCAGATGGAGGTGGATGGCGGCGACAAGGTTGGCGAGGACGAAGTCGACAGCGATATTGCCAGTTTACTCGCAAGCGACGACGAAGAAGAAACAAACGACGTCGGGCTGAGCAAGGCCGACAAAAAGACAAGACGGGCCGAGGCCGCCGCTCTCGCCGAGACCAAGCGCCGAGAGCAGGACGAGAAGGAGGCGGCCGAGGAGGCGGCCGCGCGCGCCGCCCACGAAGACGCCATGGCCGCCAAGTACTCGGCGCTTCTGCCAGACGAAGACAGCAGCGCCACGGCCGACGAATCCGGCGCGACAGCCACACCGACACAGCCCAAGATTCTCATCACGACCTCCCGCCACGCCACCATCCACAAATACGCGCAGACGCTCACCGACGTGTTCCCCAACAGCACCTACATCCCCCGGTCCGGCCACCGCTACGTCAGCCACGAGTACAGCGTCCGCGAGATCGCCGGCTACGCACACAACCGCGGCTACACGGCGCTGCTCATTGTCAACGAGGACCAGAAGAAGCCGTCGGGTCTCGACATTACCCTGCTGCCCAACGGGCCCATGCTGCACTTTTCCATCCAGACCTGGGTCGACGCCAAGCGGCTGCCCAACCACGCGCGGTCCACGGGCCACGTCCCCGAGTTGATCATGAACAACTTTGACACGCCTCTCGGCAAGCTGGTGGGCGGTGTGCTGGGCCGGCTGTTCCCCAAGGACCCGGAGCTCATTGGCCGGACGGTGCTGACGCTGCACAACCAGCGCGACTACGTGTTTGTGCGGCGGCACCGGTACATGATGCGCGAGAAGCGGGCGACGGAGCGCAGCGTGACGGAAAAGGACGGCAAAGCCATGACGGGCGTGGAGGACGTGCGTGTGGCCCTGCAGGAGATTGGTCCGCGGATGACGCTCAAGCTGCGGCGGGTGGACAAGGGCATCCAGCGCATGTCGGGCCAGGCGTTTGAGTGGAAGGGGCGCATAGAGAAGAAGCGGACGGTGTGGCAGCTGTAGTCTGGTGGGCGGTGGTTTTCCGTGTCTGTATGATTCGCATGTGTCGATCCAGCGAGGCGAAAAAGTTATTGTATTCAGCGTTTCTGGAGTTCCATTAAGAATTACTCGGCGTTATGGCATTCCCAAAGAATTCAACTGCACCAGATCGCTTCTACGCCCAGTATGACAGCACGGCATCATGACACGATCTGCATTCGCAAGGTGCGGTGTCTATTGTGTATATTTGTAGATCGAGGACGGCCAGCAGCTTCTGTCCCTCTGTGTCCGTCCACCAACCCCCACGTCCACCAACCCTACGTCAACTTGTTCGTCTGGGCAAACTGCATGCCCGCGGCAAAATGGAACAGCTTGGCCGCCACCACGTACCGGTCCCGCGCCGCGTACTCGACCAGCCGGTCGTAAAACTCGGACAGCGGCACAATCACCCGCTCAATGTGCTCGCCGTCCTCGAGACGCTGCTCGGGCGCCACGCTGTCGTCCTCGGCCAGGTCCACGTCCACCATGACCAGCTGCATGTTGGCGTTGCTCATGCCCGGGTCGGCAGCCTGCGGCGGGCTCACGCTCGTCACGCGACACTCATAGCCCGTCTCCTCCTTGAACTCGCGCACGGCGGCCTGCTCGGCCGTCTCATCGGCGTCAATCAGCCCTGCGGGCCACTCGACCGTGTAGGCGTCCAGGGGCGGGCGGTACTGAATCACAATGAGCGTCGCAGGCGGGCGCCGGGGATGGCGCAGAACATTGCCCATGGCGACGGCGTCGACACCCGCCTTGCCGCGGGTCTTGCGCGTGGCGACCTCCCAGGTGCGGCTCTTGCCGGTCTGGTCGACATACTGGATACGCTTGAGAGCGAGCCAGCGAGCTTCGGACGTCTGGAGGTCGTCAATGCTGGTGATGACGGGTTCTTGGGTCTTGGGAGACATGGTGAAGGCGCGGGCGAAACGCGGGTGAATAGCTGTGTGGAGTGCAAGTATCGAGGGCGTGCGGGCAATTCGAGCAGCGATGCGGAGGCCAGTGCCGGAATTCATGAATTGGGCCGGGAGAGAGAGCGTCGGGAAGTGCAGTTTTCAATGTGGGCATTCGAGTGTGAAATACAGATGTCAACGGCGGGCACACAATAGGTGAATGTTCCAGGTGCGATGGTGTTAGCTAGCTGCGGGTGTCAAGCTGCCGGCAATGACGCAGTGGGATGCGGGGTGGTAGGTGGTGGACGTACGCCATATAATAGAAACTAGAACGTATTTCCTCCACGTACGACCATAGATAATAGACAATACGGGATCCCGTCCGCTCTCCCCTAGTCAAACCATTAATTCGCGTGCCGCTGCCGACGAGGCCGGTTTCTGATTCGTCCAAGTGTATCGTCACGTTCGATGGTTACCGTTGTTGTAAGTACCCAATAACCCGAGCTTCGGGTACCTGGTTGTGTTACGCGGTGTAGCCTTCCTTTTTTGTATATCTCCTTTTTATTTGTATAATGGTATGATGGTTAAACTAGTTATTTTTAAAAGAATGGTCCGAGAGGGTGTCGTAAAGGAAGAAGGAAAAAGTCTTACGTTTTTATATACTATTTTATACCCGTTTTTAACGGTGATATTATAGTCTTAGTTTCGACGTTTTTATATAAACTATTAATTTACGTCGTTATTAAAGGGTCCTTTTATCGTTTTTTCGGACGTTAACTTTTAAATAATTAAAAAGTCCCGTTAATTATATACGTTAAAGATATATATTCTTTATATTCGTTTATAAAGTAACCGTTAATTAAAAAATTAAAATGAAAATTAAAATAAAAAACGGAATACGGTAAATAAATAAAAAATATAAAATAAAATAAAAAATAATAAAAAGACGAAATAAAAAAAAGTATAAAATAAAATTATAGTCCCGTTTTATTTTTTATATTACAAATAAGTCGGTAACCTTCGTTTAACGTCCCGTTATACTTTTTTTAACCTTTTTATCGTTCCGTTAAAATACTTTTAAAATAATACACGTTACTTTTAATATTATTTAAATAACCCTCGAAGTCGACTACGTTTACGTAATTATTTACGTACCGTTATTACGACGGTCGTTTTTAAATTCGTTTATAATAAGTCGTTACGTACTACGGCCGTTACGACCGTAAATACTATCGTATAAAAGTTATACCGTACGGTATAACCTTTTTAATTTATTAGTCTTCTTTATTTCCGTATATAATAGTGTTATATTAACGGTTTTTATTTACTATTAAAAATAACCGGTTTATTTAAAACCACCTTATTTTTATCGAATTTCGTTTTTATTACGAGATAACGTTAAACGAAAAAGTAAAGAAACGAGGGAGGGTTAAATACGAATTAAAATATATATATTTATTCCGTATATATACGAAATTATAATAAGTAACTTAAGGTTAAATATTATATAGTAGTAAATTTTATTAAAGGTGGTTTTTTTTTATATTAATATACGATATATTTACTTTTTAATTTTCTTTATCGTACCAAAGTCGATTTCGACGACCCGTATTAAACGTATAACTTAATAAATAAATGTTTTATATTTAAGGTTAAAATTATTAAGTTAACTTTACGTCTTTTATTTATATTTATATACTTACTATTTACTAAATCTTACTCGTTATATTATAACTAATTAACTATTTATAAGGTTAAAAAAACTAATCTATTTATTTTTTATATTATAAACTCGTCGATAACTACTTAAATCTACTCTCGTTCTTTTATTATATTATTAAAATAAGTGACTATTAAATTTAAAAGTAACGACGGACCGAATTTACTTTTATTTTAAATATCGACGACTACGATAATTAAACTTTTAACGAAATAATTATCGATAACTACGACTTTTACTATTAAAACACCGTAAATTTTAATACGTTTATAAATATTAAAACGTTTATTAATCGTATACTAGTTAGTAAAAAAGACGACTTACTCGTACCGATATAATATAATATCGAGTAGTTATATTACTGTAAAAAAACGATATAAAAAGTGTTTATTTATAAAATAAAAGGTCTTCGTTTTACCGAAGTTTTATTTATACTCGATAACCCTTATATTTTATTAAAGAATATTCCGTATTTATTAAAAAAAGTACCGAATATACGTATCTTATCCGGTCACTTAAAGTAGTATATACCGGACCCCGAAATACTTACGTATATTTAAAGTACGTTACGAAAAAAGAAATAAGTTAATTAAACTTTTAATACTCTACTTATACCGAAACCCGATAGTAAACGGTTTAACTTATAAAACTTATACGACGTACGAAAAAACCTCCGGTTACGAGTTTCGAGACCTTTTAAATTCCGTATAATAATATAAACGTTTTTTTTTATAACACTTATACGACTAACTAGTAGTCTA